CTGCTTCACGCCAGCAGGACGATGGCTTGAATGCAATTACCTTTCTTCTATTCTATGCATTAGCATACGTAGGAAGATATATTGCATATTGGTAATATCGTTTTAAACTCTGTCCGATTGATGTTATTAACGTATTATGCACTCTGATTTACAGGAGATGATTTTTCAGAACGTGTGCGTTTCAATGTTCACGTTGTGTATGGAGCGTGAAAGACGTGGGATTTCCTTTCAGCTGAAAGACAGTCCATTCCACTGGTACGATGAATAGCTATCTGCATAACTAGTTGTCATTTCGGTACTCCCCTCAGACTACCCCCGCTTAGAACCCCGCTTGTAGTTGAAGTTCGACAAAGAAAGCATTTTTTTAACAATTGCCTGGATGTCGTTTTGGTCAAGTTGATTAATTAGACTGAAGCGAATTGATTATCCGCGATAATTTTTTTATCACTACGAGCGGCAGCATCTTCAGTTTCTCGAAGATTAATCTCAACATATTGAGAAGACTAGGAACGCCGATGTTTTAGGTAGAAGGGAACCACATAGAATATATATGTAGCATAATCAAAAAGCGTTGTTGTATTTCAAGAAATGAGCTAACAGTTTGTGTGTTCTCTCAACTCCTGTTCTATGTAACTAGAGCCAGCTAAAAACGTTCGACACTGGCAAAGCATAAGCATTATTATTATTAAAAATGTCGCTTACAGAATTTATATAAAGGAACTTAGAGCGATCGGATACCTTACTTACTAAAAAAATCTTGGAATTATAATATTTGCTATTTTTTTTGAAATGCTAATATATTTATCCAAATGCTTCCTCCAACAGTAATCAGCGCATACGGTAATTAGGTCACATAACCTATTGTTCCAAACACAGCCACTTGTGTTCCAATGATAAGTTTCTAATTATAAAGCTTTCCATCCATCTCATAACTAATTAACTACTTTATATAAATAGGCAGTCTTTTCGGGAGCGGTTTGAACTATCGACTCGAGACGACCAGCGCGTCAGTTTCATCGACTTCATTAAACACGCTCTTGACATTCAGGAATTATGGCGAGACCAGGCGCTGCGCGACACATACGACATTCGCTATAACTTCAAACTGGTCAGCAGTAACCATATATTCAGTGGCCATGTTATATAAGCAATTATTTTTTATTATATTCAGAATCTATGAAAAATACATATTCATATTATGAGACATCACGGCTACTTTGGTATATGTATAAAGCATGGTAGCCAATGCAAAATTCATGTAAACCTTTATTATTTTATTACTTTGTACATGCAAGAAGCTATAATTTGAATTACGACCTTTTCGGCGTACTCGTCGCCATTTAGATACCATGCCTTTCTACATAAATGTATTGAAGTCATATTTGCTTTCTTGTAGTCGGATAGCTGTTCGTACTTCTTTAGCGAGATCGCGAGGATTAAACAAGCTAGCTATGTGCCATCACAGCAGGATATCCTCTTCGCTCGACGAGCCACAATCGGCATTAAGGTTTGTTAGTTGGACTTCGTATAAACTATACTTAGCTTAGGCTCATCTGTTCGCAATCTTTGAACACACGTCTCAAGTTTGCTTTTACAATCTCGCACTCCACGTGCTACCAGTAAGTCATATCATGTCAACATTACCCTCAGAGATGTTATCGATATTTTTCTTGGGTCGGGTCATATGAAAAAGCTGGCAATCCATAAAAAAGGAGCCCTATTTCAAGCGACGAGCCAAGTTGACGAACGCATATTGCTTACTTAATTAGTTGATGTTGGCCTTCTCTACTTTTTTCAGGAAATGCTAGTAGATATTCCATGCTCTATGGGTCGAGGCACTGTTCCGTTCCGCTTTATCGATGTCGGCGGCCAGCGTAGTGGGAGACATCTCTGGTCTGTATCCTATATTAACTGAGTTAATAGACAGGTCGGAAGAATAATTTAGCAAACATATTATGCTGCGACGCCTTCTATTTCGAAAGGGGCTTGTGCCTTCTAGGTTTCCCGTCGGTTTGCTTGGCCAGTCTTATTTAGTGCCAAGTTAGGGCCAAGCTCTTCATTTCAGTCTCATTTCAGCATCCTTTAAATATGTCCAGGTGTCTTGCAAAGCTCCTCAGTCCATAGGTGAAGGTTCTGATGAATCCTGGACTCATGTGGGTGTTTCCTATATGCTTCAGCACAGTGAACTAGCGTATGTAAAAGGTTCTATTCACTGCTCTAAGGACATAGGGCGCAGGATACCGCCGACGGGACCCATCCTACGCGGTAGAATGTTTTAGGTAGTTTAGAACAGGTTGTGACCCATAAGGAATCGAATTAAGAAGATATTGAGCTCACCTCGTTTTCTCACGATCAACTGTTTGACATCTGGGATAATACCCCTCACTTTAATATACACCTTAATAATACACCATTCACTCTACTATCTACGAACAATTGCTTCACTTGGATCAGCCTGCGGATCAACCTAAACCGCCTTTCCCCTTAGCCTTCAGGTTCCATAATATTGTGCCTGTTAACACCAATGCTAATGGCTATATATGCCAGCTTAACCAATTATTATCGATATTTTCATAATCGGTATTATTCGCCACAGAAGGTAAAATATACGCACACGGATCATTTATATTATTCTAATATGGGACAGCATAAGAAGCCCCTTACACTTACCCCATTATCCCTTATACTGCGAGCAAGATGCTAATAAAGCTAAATGGACCTTATAAATCAACTATGTCGAAAATCTTATATTTATCAATCTCAATGATTCTTTGAACCTGATAACCTATCGAAAAGATACTGGACGCTGTATTTAGGAAAAGCCATGGGCTCAACATGAGATGACGATACATTATTTTATAGTTGTATTACGAAATGGGAACAAGGTGTTATACACATTGTATAGCCTACGAGGGCTACTTTGAAAACTGACAAACCGATCGGGTGTGAAAGATCTTGTTTTACAACGAGACTCCTGCGTTTTAGAGAAAGCTATATGATTTAGCTTAATATTATTAAGCGAGAATCCGTCAAACCTTGGAAAGCATGGCTGCTACAGAATACAATGTATCGTGTGCGTAATAAGGGCACTGAAGTGTACATTCGATTTCGCACATAGATTCTAGATGATAGATCAAAACAACTTTAATACTTTCGGTAGAACGTACCATTCGTACTTGCTATAATACAAAGCATGAATGTATTTTACATAACAAGCGGATTAACTCGCTTTCAATACGGCAATACCCATGATGCCCCAGGGTCTTGATAGTATCTTGATCTATTTTTCAAAACGACCTACTATTTATCTAAAATTTTTTGATAACTTTAGACAACAACCGAATTTGTCTATATAAAATCTGTACTATCGATGTGTGGTAAACATTGCAGGCGAACAGTGTTCCATGGAGTTCATGCTGTTCTATTTCTAGCTCCTTGCTCTGAGTTTGACCAGGTAAGCTGTCTGCTATACTAACAGCCGAAAGCACCTGAATTTATTTTAAGTTGACTTGACTTTATTACGGCTTCGCTGTGTCGCCAAGCTGACAATTGTACTATTTAATCAAACGTTATGTTATCATATAGGTATTAGCGGAAAATTCATCAGTCAACCGATTAGAGGAGTCTTTGAGGACGTTCGCTTGGATCATCAATGAACAGGCTTTTCAAAGTAGTTGCGTCATTCTCTTCCTAAATAAACTGGATCTACTTATTGAAAAGGTAATAGTCGATTGAAAAGGTCGATGGCAGTAGTATGAGGGAAAAGCAACAGTTTCAATTTTATACCGACACTAAATGTAACAATCATCATTTGTTTACAATATTAATTTATGCAATTATGAATATTATGATTTTAAAATCTAATTTTATGCCAGGCATCCCACAGAACTGAATGCCATAGCAATCATGGTAGTGATCATAATACAGCGCCCCGACCCGGTGCCCTCTTTTCGCCTCCTGTCCGCTTGATAGTTGTAACTATAGTAGTGCCAAAAAGACATACACTATTGAATTAGTGGCAAACGAATACATTTAGGTATAGTTTAATACATTTCAAAGGAGACCAGCTCACATGAAAAAGTTTTTCTCGCATTTCTTGTAGAAAAACGTTGCAAACCCCTTTTAAAGGGGTTTTTTAAAACCTTTTTTTTAAAGGGATAATACTTTTCGAACACAAATATATGTACCACCCTTACAAATCTTTGCGGTCAAGATAGCCCTTTAAGGAGGCAAGAAGCGCCTATGCACAGAATGAAAGCAGCTAAGCCTTCATATCTTCTCGTCTTCTAGACAGGTTCGTAATGGAGCACAAACTTCGTTGGTTGCACAGTGCCAACAGTCGATTTTATAGCCAGCGTCAATTTACGGCGATCTACGAAGAGCTAGTATAGGACTTCTGTGAGAGAAAAGGAAGATGCACAATAGAAATCAGGTCAAAAAGTTCCGGAAACTCCTAAATATCTTACAGAATCTACTCTTGATGACCTCGGACCTTCAATGAAAGCATTAGACATTGTTTTAGGAAGCTATTTATTGTCAATCGGCTTATCCAAACAAATCCCAATGGGCAATCTTAACAAAAAAAAAACTGTTCATTGGTCTCGTCGGCATATTAGGCTTGCAATAAAAGCGACACGTATATGTTCCCGCCATACGCAAAAAAAGAGGTCATCCAAATGTCTGTAGATGTATTTCATGAACATGCAACATCAAGATAAACCAAACATGCGATATGTACGCTATAGATTCATAGAAGCGACAGCGCTTAAGAGAGCGCTGAGTTCTGCGCTGTTTATGTCAACCGGCGTTTGCCACAAGAAGGCCGGTGCTCTATCCCAAACCATAATCGCTGCTATTTATTCGACACAAGACACATAAGACAACCTTTTATATATATGTATATATATACATATATGTATGTATCTGTATATATACACATGTGTATACATACATATATAGCAAAGACTATTAGAGAACAATGTTGTGCATCAATTGCGGCGGGCGCCGAAATTTGGACGACAAAGACGTGACTGACGACAATTCGTCTACTTCTCTTCCGGACATGCAGCAACCGGCTTACGCCTCAATCTTTTTCATCAATCTTTTTCGTATTCGGCCTGACATTGCAGCTGTCTTCACCTTTACATCCTTTCTACATCCTTCTTCCCCCATAATAGTTGCTGGAAATCAGCTTGTTCCTAGAGTCATATAGCCAGATCTCATCACGGAGCTTAAATGACGATGCATCTTCCGATTCTTTGATTTATCTTGCTACGCCCGTAAGCATCGTTCGAGCATTCGTTCAGATGATGACCGGTCGTCGTTTCAATTGTAAACGTGTAATGCAATAAAACTTCTCTTGATCTCTTCGCTAACAATCCAATTTTATTTTTTTTGAAGAAAGACTTCATCGTACGCACACTACGCTCCGCGTGATCTAGGACGTTACAGAGTGCACCGGTTTTACTCACTGATCGTTTATGGACTCGCAAATCTCATACTCAAAAGCTCGATCTTCTGTGAATGGTCTTTTCACGACTTTATTGTTTCAACCGCCGAATATCACTTGCTTTCCTAATCGTTGTAGTAGACCTGTATCTCTAAACTAATATCCAACCATATAGACCAACATACCCTCGTATCACTTCGCCAGCTTCGCCGAACGCGTCTTTTAGTCCTGGCCTTAAGTAGTGTCGGAAACACGTTAATGATTTCTGCAGTGCACTCGTATGAAAAAAATGCTAGCTTTGCTACCGGCTGTCTGCAAACAACGGTTACCGGCGACTATAACGAGACGTCTGATTTCCCGGCCATTCTAGCGCCTGCATTTTTGGTGGCTGCGTTTAGCTTACTCCAGACCCGTTGGATAACTGAAATTAATGAATTAATTACTAACGGTGCTTTCGCAAATTCACCAAGCATTTTTAGCATTTTTTTTCTCGTTTTCCTTTATTTTCTATACAGCATCTGTTTGTCCTGATTAAAAAGCAACAAGTAACAAGCAACACAGCATGGTAAAAGGGTTGGCGCGTAATTTAAACTATAATGACTTTACCTGTATTTTGCTACATTACCTCAGTACCTGTTTTTCAGATGGAAATATTCACGCAGATCTTCAGTGATGTGTTTAGTGAGGTGCTTTGATGATTCATGTTTTTTGCAGCCTTTAAATTATTCGCTGTGGACTATCTCTGGATCTGTGTGTCACAGTCCCTTAAAGGCACATTTGTTAAATAAGCAGGAAATTCGTAATGTAATTCAAGCCTTCTAATCCTCATCTTCTGCATTCTGATTAAATCTCTCATTTGATGAAAAATAATTACGTTATACTAACGTTGTTCAATTTCAAGCTAGCTGATTCATCTTCATGCGTTTCACTGTCCCAGTTTTCTTTTAATTTATCTAAAAACCCATCGTCTGCCCTATGTCAACCTCTCAAATACGTACCGCGTAGATAATTCCTCTCATATAGTGAGTAAAGCAATGCGAGAGTTTTCAGCAGCATATTTTCTCCTTTATACTGCATGACGTGCACTGCTTACTGTTACCTCTATCGTAAACATTTCTGAAAAGAAGTTCACAATGATGCATGAAGAGATTGGCAAAACATTTATTCGCAGATAGTACCATTATTTACTATTTCTGCCCATTTTTTTTTTTGAGAAAGTAAGGCAATTTCTTTCTGTCGCTATGATGTTCCCAAGGAAGCCATGCAGTAGCTTGAGTTGGTAAGAACTCACTCCAGTCTTGATCGACTTTATCATTTAAAAAATAAGCCTGCATCTTTATGGAGTGGATTGTGAAACTTTTCCTATCGAACCGCGGGTTCCATAGCTATACGCACGAGGCGAAAATGGTCACTAATTATGTCTCGAATTAGTTGAGCTTCTACAATGGAGACTTTCGTAGCTACGGCAGCGACTTCTTTAGCTCTGTCAGGTAAAAGAACGGTAAATGATAACATAAAATAATGAGTTCTCTCATCGATGATCTTCTAATCCCATCCTTACATGTTCTACTAGTACAGCGCACCAGGTCGAAAATCTCATTTTCACAGAAATGTCTTTATGATTATATGTGTAAGACTTAGATTTTAAAAGAAACGTATTTTGTTAATCGATACGTCACATTGTGTTCTTCTTGTATCAAAATTAGGTTGTCATTCAACAGAGAAACATTAGAAGTTATTTTCCAATGTTCGAGGGAAACCCGTTAGATGTAGAAGATGTTCAGAGATTCATCCTCGATATGTTTAGACAGAGGGCTCGCAAACAGGCTTTTTACTGGTAAGTTTTACTAAACCGAATGCCTTCTTGGCATTTTGTCGTTCCATAGGAAATAGTCAAAGTTACCTTTTTGAATTTATATCTGAATGAATTCGTGAAATTATTATCTCGCGCACGTTTTAGGGGCACCTTAGGCTTGATTATATGGTACAGTACATTGGGGCAAAAGTTAATTCCTTCTTCAAAATTCAACTGTAACAATTCTCTAAATATGAGCTTTATGATTTTGGGATATTTCAGCCACTTCACGACAGCAACAGATACAGATCTAATGCGCTCTTTGGTTGCAGACGTTAAGGACAAGATAGTCACGATGAACCTAAATCAACTAATTCTCAACCATGAATAACCGTACCGCGCAAGCAATTATTTAATTAGTAGTACTTGAACGATGAGTATAGTATCAAGACTATGTTTAAGAATAATTCTGTAAAAACAACGCTATTCTAATATACAGCAGCCAATCTAGAAGCCGATGATGAGCCTTTATGGGCATGTACTGTAAAATACTAAGAAACAGTGCCAAATTGTCAGGCCAAATTTAAAATTACAAAGCTGGTAGTTGATCTTCTTTTTTAAACAGCTGTTTTTTTTTTATCTACAAGTTAGCGATCTTCAATTTAGTTACTAATTCTAAATACCCTAGTTATTTCTATTCGGACTTGCATTAATTTTTAAAATTTATTTATACATTTTTGCTGGCGCAAACGATAAACAATTTTTCTACGAAAATATCTATGTTGCATAACTCTCCGAACATCAGCAAAAATTTTTGATATCTTAAATAAAATTATAATATGGAAAAATTTTTGTTTTTTAAAACGGCCAAGAGTTCGGTCGAAACAAGTTGGCTTAGGTTGGTTCAGATGGCCTCAATAGAGTCACCTCGTATGCGTTATGCTAGAAAAAGAGTTATAAAGCGTTTATTCGTAAAATATCTTTTTACATGTCAGATGACGTGCTCATGACGGATAGTCATCGACTATTTCGTCCAGCGGCTGCGGTTCATACAATCGCATCGAAAATAGTTAATTCTGAAACAATTTCTCTAAAGTACCCCATATACGATTGTTATATTCTGTCATAATGTCATCGTGAAATTCAAGAGCAAATTAATAGATTTTTTATATTAGAAAAGAGTGTATACAGCCTGTATCTGACTTTTTAATATCAATTTTTTAATACTGAGTTCCTAATAATTGAGTAATAGGTTTAGACATTACCAAACCAGAACATTTTTCATAATTCCACCGATGATCTTTTCTAGAGTTCTTCTAAAGTTCAATAACTACAGTGACTTGGACCAGCATAGTTATGTCGGGCATACATTAATCAGACATATGCGGTATACAATAAATAGCTATACATATATATATATACTATGCGTTATATGGCAAATTCCAAAGTACATGGATCATACAAAGGATCGTAGCACTAGAATTTCTATCAAAAAATATACTTTGAGACAATTTTACTCGCGCGCGACTTCTAGAGATAAGAAAATAACTTAATCCAGATGATTAAACATTACTCATACATGGCTGCGTAGAAGTTGTTACACGTATCAAATTTATATGAGTTCTACTACAATGTCAAATCTTACTACCTACCAATATTTAAAAACAAATGTATTTCATTACAACTGAGTGCTATTTTACATTCAATACTAATGTTTGTTATTGCATATTTAAATACACATATATTGAACTATTTTTTTCTATAAATATGGTTCAATTTATACGATTGACTGCGCAGGACGGACAGGGACGCGGTCACTGGAGTTATTTGGATAACACATTGTAGTGACCATTGCCTGACACAGGAATGTAATGTATTTTCTCGTGATCACATCTTGAATTGAAAACGATCCGCCAACGTGAAAATATATATATATAGTTTATTATCCATCATGGTTATCATCTTCGTGTCATGTGCTTACATGTTCTTATCATTATCAGTAAAAGTTGTTGTATTTTGTTTTTATTATCACATCTCGTGTACGAGGAAGCGGATTGTGTTCGGATATCGCTTTAACCCGTAAGGCCACTTGAAGCATTCTAAAAAAATATACCTCTCGCCACTTTATAGTAAGATGAGCAGTCCATATTATCGTTACTAATTATCTCGTATCAGCCAACACAGCAGTGGTTCACTAAAAAACATAAGAAAATTATATATAGCAATAAATGAATAGCTTAACTTGAGCTAAATACAAATAAATTGTCTCCCGGCCCTTTGATACTTAGGAGAGGAACAAATTTGAAATTATGAGGTGTGCTTATAGTGAAGTTTAGTAGAAACTTAATCAACGTTGTTTATCGACTACAAAACAGGCCAAGAGCAACAACTACCTGCACAATTGTAAATCTCTATTTTACCTGTTTTGTGTGCTTCTACAAATATACCGAAGCTTTGATACGGCAAATAGAGAAAATAAGGTGCATGTCACAATGCTGTCGTCACCATAATTTAGCCACTAATTGCTTGCACGTTTAGCAGAAATCATTGTAGTCTTGTGAGACAATTGTTCTCTCGGAAATATTTGACTCTATCTTATGCATTCATATACACAATGGAGTAGGTACCACATAATTGATAAATTCAGTTACAACTCGGAAACGTTTAAGAATAATTCACGTGAAGGCAACAATTTTTCCGCTATTATATTATATTTCTAGAAGCCAAAGATCGTGTTATTAAAATTAAATTACTATAATTTTGAAGAAATTAATATAGAATATATTGTATGCGACTCACTTTTGTATAAGAATTTAATCGTAAGGCTCAGAACGCAGAAAAAGCGAGCTGATAAAAAAATTTAGGGCTACATTTATAGTATCCCCGCACAGCCAAGTCAACATGATTCCTTAGGCTTCCTGGTACTGACTACACTCTCCTTAACAGGCTACGATGCCAGCACGACGTACCTAACGTCACAATCGACGTCTTCGTTTTCTAAAAATAAAAAGCATCCAGAAACTATTTCCTAAATACTTGCTTAATCTTTTTGTGTTATAATGACGTACTGTTTTTTCCAGGGAGGTAACTTTACATTGGTTGCCAAACTCATATTAGCCCAATACGTTCTTCCAGAAACTGCTAGGTTTTATAGCTGGAAGTGGATCTCTCACAATATATATAGCCAACCACTGTTATACCAAAGACCATCGCTGTCATTACACGTAATTTGCGATCCCGTTTTGGTAAAAAAAAAAAGACCAAGTGTCAAAATGACACGACTAATTGTGATTAAAACGGACCAACATATATGCATATAAATATATCGTAAGAAAACGTATTTAATCATTTGTTTATCGTAAGAAGGTAGATTCATCTCCCAGTATCTGGCTGTTATTTGACTATCTTGCAATGAACTGCGACGCCTCACCATATCTACCTTTTAGACTTCATTTCAAGTCCTAAAAAACCAATATTCTACTGCTAAGCATTTTTTAGCATTAGGAAAACAAGAGACGTCGTTCGAATATCGCATGGAAATTTGATTGATTATCAGTTAAGAATATTATCACATTTTGAGTTCTTAATTTTTTAATAGTTAGCCTGCTTCAAGTCGCTATTTCTAAACGACACTGTATTTCTTACAAGCAACATACACCTGTTAGAGCGGTTGTGGATTTACCACAAAACACGTTTTAGGATCATCTATATCTTAGAGATTGAAGATAATTGAAAAAATGCTTCCAAAATTGAGGCCAGTCACATCACCTAGAAAAGCAGTGCCTCTAATCGTTGTCTAGAGAAGTTCTTTCATGTAAGCAGCAGCCGCAGGTTTGTCGCAGACCCAATGCAGGACGCCGGGATTGGGATGGACTAACGAAGCCGGAAGCGCGGGATTATCAGGTAGACCCGAAAGGATGGCGCGGAGAGCCGCTGCCTTTGACTCACCGGTTACAATGAAAATTACCTGCATGTGCTCAAAATCACACAAAATTAGAAAGCTGTAGTAACTTTGATCGTTTCAGCTGTGCTAATCATAAAACAGATGAATAAACAGACAGTGGTTATGCACAATAAAAGTCGGAATAAAGGTTCAACAAATGCAGACTGTCTTTAAACCGTAAAAATTACCCAAAAAAAAAAGAAACCAAATAAATGCTGTATAAACATGACGTATTTCATTTAGAGACCGTAATAGCAATACAAAAGCGAATATTTACAAAATAATAAGTATAATATTACCTCATAGTTATATTTGTAAAACAATTTTCTTTTTTATTGTTTTAGACTCATTGAGACGAATGTCGGTCTAAATACCACCAAGACCTAGAAAATGGCCCTTTTAATATTCTTCCAGGAACTCATAAAACATCTAGAATACATAGACGGTGTCATAGATAGTCTGTTGGATACAATAGAAGACACCCATGCCACAATGGCAGGATGTGTAGGGAACCCATTTCTCAACAAATCCGTGTCTCGAAACTACGAAGCTTGGCATATATAGGCGAATAATAATATTCGTCTAATATAATAATATGTCTCCTACCTATAATATATTTTGAAAGCGCAATGCCGTTTGTAGGTCTACGTAGACTTAATACTAACATTTTTGGCTGCATTGAGAACCGGCAACGTAAAGGTGACTCTCTGCAATGGTGGTTTAGGCGAGTCCGCGATAGCAGCCACCCACCGTTTTGATTCTGCTAAAAGATCATGGTGGGGAAAGAGTGAGCAGGTGTGACCATCTGGGCCCATACCCAATACGCAAACGTCCAAGTCAGGCAATTTCCTACCAGGGAAGAACTGCTTCAATCTGACAAACAATGAATACCAACATATATTTTAAGCATAAATTCGAGGGTGTTTAATTCGATGCCAGCAAACTTTTCTCTTCTAAGAACTACTTACTTTCATAATTATTTTTACTCTATGCAATTGCATGTAACTATTGTGTTGCAAACACTAGCTTCACCTGTTCAGCCCGACTCACGTTAAAAAAATTTTATATGTCCCGTCCAGAGAATTTACAATGCCTTAAGTTCACTCCAAGCTAGATTAACACTCGATACATTCCGAACATTCTATTAGAAGCCAACACTAACGCCCCTCTGCCTTAGAAAATCGGAAGTACGGAACACAACTAAGTAAATCCAAAGCACACAATCTCGTTTGAAAATGATTTACAGCTAGGGATCTTGACAAATCATAGGCCTTGCTAGTCGATCATTCTTATTCATGACTAAGCAAAGCATATAATGTAAACAGAACACAACCTTAACGTGTAGTCCCGTTCACAGTCTTCTAGAGGTAGAACAGGGTTTATAGGAACAAAGAAAGCCTCGGACAAGCCAGGGACAGAAGTAATTAGCGATCGAAAAGCTCCGAACGTCGACTCTGGGTGATCGAAAGGGACCACGCGCTCGTCGCAAAAAAAGAAGCGCCATTTTTGAAAATCTGGAAACAGAATAATAAAAGCTATTGTATCAGATAAATGAATTAGCTTATTTCGGATTCTACTAAAACGTTCACTTTTGCTATACTGATTGGCGGTATTAAGAAATATCATGCTCGTATTGTATAAGTATATTAAAATTATAAAAGCCACATGTTATATTCAACGAAATGCAGTCGTACTACAGGTAGGTTCATTATTTATTGTTATATTTCCATTACCTCTATTTGTTAAAAGTAACAGATCTTAAATCGGCCAAGAATAGCTGTCTGTGGGGAGCTAGTACAAAAATTAAGCCGAAATAGCTACGAAACTTGATAGAAACATGTCTAAACTTGTTTTCCTGCTGTCTGCATATGTGCTTGTCTTGTTACTCTGAATTTGTGTACCAACAGTTTGTTTTTAGTTAGCTTCAGTAATTTTTTTTATGACAGACTGCTTTGGCATGATAGATATTCTTAGGCCTTCAATAAAACTAGCGAGCGGAGGCATAGTAAGGTATATTGACTGAAAAAGCTCGACTAATACTCCTAATGGTGAAGGAAAACTAGTTAAAAAAAAATTCTAAAGCCAGAATTGAATTAAAATTAAATCTTTCATGACTACATTTATTATTTATTATTATATATTATTATTATTATATTAGCTTTGAAATGGCCAACAACCGTCAATCCCAAATGAAACATACATAGTTAGGCTAATAAATGAGAGCCCTTCCCACATCAAACGGCGCTTATAAAATGTGGTCCTCTGATGTGGGTACTTTTACCCAACGCGATCTGCTTACATTAAAACTCACCGTCAATTCGTAACTGCTTGAGGACATGTATGGTGATGGCAACAGCACTCCCACCGGATAGCCCCACAGTGAAAAACCCTTCAGCCCCTGTGCGTGGCTTAGTTAATGCTTCCTCGAAAAGTGACGTTACTTTGTCCGTTACACCTTTTTTGTCGTCCGCAACGTATACGCGAGACATGGCGAACTGTTAAAGTTATCAGATGCGAATGCGTCTGTAATCAATATGTCATTGTCTTCAATACAATAACAAGCACGTGTATGACTTTGTGGAAACGTAAGGGCCAATTTAGTTTCACGTCATACTGCTGATTAGGTAAAATGATTGATCAAAGTAGTGCTATGTTTACTTGAAATATTCCACTGAAAATGCTCTAGCTAGACTTCGTACAATATCGCGAATACCATTTTCTTAATATCAATTCTTAGAAAAATATTACTGTGAAGTTACCTAAAGCTCCAAATGCATTTCCAAGTGGTGAGAACTTCGTCAAGTTAGCTTAACTAAGGCTAACATTAATAAACTTGAGCTCTTATAACTAGAAGAAATACTAATTTATTGTTTATTATTTAAAAATTAAGGGACATTTAATTTTATAATTTTTACAAAGCCAGTACAAAATTCGTAAGATGTTTTACAAACATAATGCACTTCATAATGCATAATGCATAATTCTCTTCATACATATAAGTCAGCGCCAGTGGATTGCTGTTTCGGTTAAAGCAGAAGATGTATTCGATCAAAGCACACGATCTTTCTAAAATACGCCCCTAATAGGCATTAAGATCTGTCCTAATTTGCTGATCTGTAACGCTGCAAGCTGAAACTTGTGCTAACTAACAAGTTAATGAAAAACACTTTTTCATGAGATGATGGCTATGAGAATTGACAGCAAGTCAAGATACAATATGTGAAATTAAAAAACAGAGTGGATGTTTTTATTACATTACTTTTGAGGTGAACATTAGTTACTCAAAACATCAAAAGAACAATGTTGATCTACATAGACCATACTGAACTCGAGTTTTATAGTTAAATGTCCAAGCAACTTCATATCAATATAAATAGATTTTATAATACTCTGTCATGCCCTACTTTTGATGTGAATTAGTTTACACATGAATCCGTTTGATACAAATAGCGGACGCATATGTTAAATGCTTATGACATCTTTGGTTACCAACCTTTAACTGTTCCTAAAATACATTATATTTGTGTAACTCACCTATTTTATGGTGATCCTTCTTTTTCGTTCAGTCAACAGGATTTTAATTAGCAACTCCGAGCACTGCACCTCGCTAACTTTTCCGGACACAAATTTATTTAACAGTTGGAGATTATCTATAACAATCGTTACCTCATTTACTATAGCTACCCGGTTTCCTGAGAATGATCTACCGATCGCCGTCGTTCGCTGTATGCGAAAGTATTGAACACCACAACTTATATCTGATACTTAAATTTATAAATATCTGTTAAGTATAACAGATATCCCGATTAGTTAAGACATAAGTGTAAGACATAAGCGATCAATTGTTATCAGCAGGTAAAATTCGTCTTTTACATTCGATTCGTACAATATGGATCGATGAACTGGTTGGATTAAAGTTGTTGTTGATGGAAGTACGTTAATCACCAATGAATGTTTTTTCATGAAGAGGTAAATATTCCCGTGTTGTTGGGTCCATGCTCTTCTGCTGCCGGGCGACGGCCGCCATGGCCTGTTCTAGTGACATGTCTAACCAATATGGCGCGACGATAGTCCCAGCAATTTTGTGAAAATACTAGCGGTGTTCCCGATAATAGTATACTATGGTTTAGGTTTTAACAAAACCAAAAAATACGTTAGTTAGTTTTATACATTGGTACATCTGGGTTTAATATTGAGTGTTTCGCTCATGGCAACAATTGTCCGCTGTGGCCCTCTCGTTATTGTTTATATGTTTAGTGGCCATGTTTGCCGTTGTAACTCGAATCCCTGTCAGACCGGTGTTCGTTGTGTAATTTGACTTGCTATTTATTTTGCGTTTTTAGCTTATTATATTGTGTTTCCAGCCCCGCGTGTATTTAATTATTCTTATGAAACGAATTCTTTCCCATTTCAATCGTTTGTTGAAAACTGTAAGAAGACTAATTTAGGATATTCCATATAGTTTACGGTCCCTGATTAATAGAAAAAATCAATGAGGCCGAATCAAACACACAGATGTGACACTTTCGGGTTGTTAAAATTAGCAGTGTTTACGATGAAGTATAGAATGCGAACCTGTAAAACCGTGCTTATATAAAAAAAATTGATGCGTCGACTCTGCGTAATTCTACAAAAGAACGTGATTAATTTGTTTTCAAAGAAGGCTCATTGTTCGCAAGGACACCGTATTTAAGAAGAATGAAGCGATACCATACTATAGAAAAATTGAAGGCATGATAGTACAGAAAGGCCGGGAATTACAGATATGCTTGACTGTGCTACAAACAAACCTAAAAATAAATACTAATGGAAGATCTTTGTGCATGTTTTGTAGGACACATTTTATTGGGAGTACACAATGTCAGTAAGCAAATTTATTGATATATTGTATAATTAAATTATGCCGAAGGAATAACCAAATCGATTCGAAAAATACATAGAACGTATGTTTTGCAAGAAGGTCCTGTCTTTTGCCATTTGGCTCATTTGGAACCTTCTAATACAAATGTACAGTATGTCCACTTCATAACTAAACAAAGGCATTCTTGTGACGTTTTCGATTTTTTGAGCGATTCTATGTCTTTTATTTGAGAAGTCATTAATCTGGCTGACCATCCATCCGTGTATGCAGATTTCTGACGCTTGTGTTATTTTAAGGAAAGCAAACTTTAAGTACAAGATCCAAATAATGATTAGTCTTAAACCAAGTTTAAAGATTTTGGCCTACTTAATGTAAACTAAAGAATTTCTTAAGTGAAATTTACATATTTTTGAAAGCTATACATAAACGCATTTTTACCTAATTCTAGTATACTCTTGGCGTTCAATACCCTAGACTCTCAGCCCACAACGCTCAGCAAAGCGTTTGATTTAAAACTACCTCCTGGCCCCTGCGTAAAGTATTCCTATCAGAGTAGCACTTCTCATTGCCTCGGTGTTGTAGAAGCTATATCTGACTAAAAGGATTTTGGAAGAGAAGATACTCAAGGTCGATGGAACACATAGATCGCATTCTTGCCCTGATAAGCTACTATTGAATGGCTCGTTTAGTTATATGTTCATTAAACTTAAAATGTTTTTAACCTTTAAAATGTATTTAAACAATTAATAAAAGTTAGTGTTTAAACAAAAATAAATATTTATCTTACGTGTATTCGAAAATACTTAGTACTGGTCTATATAGACTACTGGCTACTGCTGAGTAGTCTCCTAAGAGCAAAACGTGGTTAATTAAATGATAAGTTCACTGGTGCATTTAAAAGGTTAAAAAGAGGTATATATTCTTTATTGATAAATATTCTATGAACAACTTCCATCAGGTGGTCCAACCAGCCATCGCTCTAGAACCCTGCTGCAATCAAACTCAGTCTTCCCTATTTTCTTATTAACGATGTTATGTTGCTCGCAGAGCCACATCGACAGCTCCCATCGTGAGGTCACCTGTAAAATAACAGTTATATTTAATTATTTTTAGGTCTACGGAACATACGAATGTTCCTACCCACCTGTATTTTTAGGTAAACTTAGATTTGCACTGTGAAAGGATTTTTAATGCTTATTTAATTTTTAAAAGTAAACGTTCAAATACTTTCTTTTTTATTTAAGCTAAAAAAAAAAATTGCAATTTACACTTAATTATCTTCTGTAATTTAACAAATACTGGTATTTAAGTCAGCAACTTGGAAGATAATCTGGAATACCGGCAAGTAATTACTAGACAAATTCTTTAGCGGTTTGTGCTTTGCTAATTTCCCATATGTGTTGACTTGTAGAAATAAGTATGGGAAATTTTGATTTACAATGGCATATTTTCGGACAAAGTTCCGAAACTTCTATAAAATATCTATAGATGAGGTAGAAGAAAAAGTATCGTTCTAGGCTAAGGACAACGACAGTAATTAACCCTATGCTGCAAAATATATAATAGGTATTTCGTATTTAAAAAAAAGTCAGGAACGGCAAATACATGCTGCACAAAAAACATCTGCTGTGAGAAACAGAAAAAATATTATACTCTGATAGTAATAGTTTTTTTAGTTATTATTATCAGAGAACCGTGGGTGTCGCGCTCTTACGCCGAGTAAACTTAGCGGCTGCACAGTTCGTACAATTGTATAGCTCACCCTTGGCGGTGATTTTTGCATTTCCTGACGAAAATCATTCGCACAATGATCGCATGGATAGAACTGCCCGAAGGCCTTGAAAAAGGCCTGTATATGCTCCTGCTCGTCCTAGAATGAAAGCATAACAAAGTCACGTTTGATACAATGGAATATAAGGCTAGTACTTTTAATATGGTAATGTTGCACATTTTATCTGATGATAGCACTTATTTAACCTTAATAACATGAAGGCATTTCCGATCGGACGCACATTGACTATTCAGCTTTTTCTTTCAGCTAATCAAAACTTTCATTTGTATAGATTTTTTCTTTTTTTTTTTGCGAAGGCATTGGCATATTTATAAGACATAGCTAAATCCATTAACTTACACCACTGGCTATCTGGTGAAAATAGCACTAATAAATGAACAATTGTAATATACAGGGTCTTGATATACGGCATGCACAACGATAAAAGCACCTTTTTTCTCAATGTCACAATGTCTTGAGAATTTTCTGTATTATAAACGCTTGTTACCTTGGAAGGTTGTTGCGGATAATACGCCGCCATCGTATGTAGAAAATACCACGTATGCCTGCCTAGTTCAGAGCGATCAAGAGGGCACGAGGTGTTCTCAGGTTGATCCAAAGGGCCATTTTTTGGATTGCCTCCAGCCTTGAAATTTGCAATTGATAACTAATTTCATTGAATATTAGTGCAATGGAATGATAAAACTGGGTATTATTAGTCGGTGTATGAGGGGCGCACACAAATAGCCGAACAAATGTCGGGCTCTCAAGCTGGCAAACTTGATAATTGTTGTACATTTTTCACGCATCAATGTCTATGTAACATTCAATTTATCCCCTACCGTGACTCATTATAATAGTTCCTCAGCAGGGCTATATACGCTGATGGGGTTCAGCCCCCTGTAAAATATTATTACATAATAATTTTGAGGACCAACAGATGTACTGGGTGATAATGTATAAAAACAGTATATATAATCATTAGTAATTTTCTTATATAACGATATTTGTGCAAGCTGAAAGAGATACACCGTAAGCTACTATATGGCATTCATTTAAAGACTTTATAAAAAATGGGAGGTTATTAATGACCCCACCAAGACGTACTTAACTATGGTGCTCTTTGCGAAACGCAGAAGAAAAGTATTGATCGTATTGAAAAATTAGTGTGTAACAGAGCTCATTTATTTGTACGATATGTGCTCCGCAGGGTGAACAGTAGGTTCACTTTAGCTCCGAATACGTGACGTTGTTGCTCCGTGCCCTTAATGCTAGGTTCAAAAGTTGACCTTTGGTTTTTGATAATTATCAAAACCGGATCGTGCAAATATCAGTCGTTTATTATATATGAGGATAAATTTATTGGGATTACAGCAACCACTTTGCATTATAATACATTTAGTTATACATGTTTATACGTAATGATACGATTCTACGTAAAACTTGCCTTCATCCAGCTTCGAAAGTCGCGGCATGCTCTACAAGGGATTTCGCCTGATTGTTCCAGGATACGGGCATCTGTTTTTATCACTATATTCTTGGCCTCATCTTGTCAAATCAGAGCAACAAGATTTATAATTTAATGTTAAAAGTTAATTGCTGTTCAAAATAAACTACAGGTTTGAACAGATCATGGCTATCAATAAGAAACGATTGTAATTGACTTCCGTAACAACAACAATAGCATTTATAATAATTGGCAATATAACAATACACATTCAAGGTAATAGACGCCCGATCATTGCCGGTGTAGTGGCCTAATATATATTTATACATATATATCTACCTTGGAATTACCATTGGTAACAGAAGAAGGCTCTTTTTGTCCACCTCTAGCGCGGGTTCTGTAGTCGTAATAATCACCCATCTGAAATAATAAATGGGGATGAAGTGCAGAGTATCCATTTGTAATTCACTAACTCGTTTTATGCTTTACCTTATCTCCGTATAGTACTTTTTGTATAAATGCAAATACACTTAGGTTCATAGTATTCAAATCATTGCAGAGATGATAATTAACTTACAAACAAGAGAACGCGTTATAATTTTAACCGCGTCATTCAATATTGCCATTGCAATGACGTACGACTTGTGTACGAGTGACAAAGGGTTCTTCAGACGATGCATACAGTAAACGAGAAGAAATCAAAAAATGGGACGGATCTATGCGAGGTGGTTCATGGTTGTAAAGCAAGCACATATAAAGAAGTAAGCATAACGTTGATTGCACTGGTGTTACACAAATGTATGTTTTTACATGCAGCCACGCACGATGGGATTTGCTATTTACTGATAAGTATACACGCAAATAAACTCACCGTAATATATTACTCGCACAGAATTACCGGCGATTTCCAGTAAGATAGTTTATTTTATTATAGTAGTAGTTTACTTGGGGTACGTTCGTATCTTATACAGTCGCTAAAAATCGCTAGTTTCCTGTATCAGCCATACACAATCAAGAAATCAATGCATTCATTCATCCCCAATCGCGCGAAATGCCAACTCATTTTCAGGGCATCTTCCTAGGTTTTCTGGTATACTGAATCAACATGTAAAATTGTACGCACTGGCCAACCCATATCTCTATTTAAATACGATGTCATAGGACCCCCTCAGCATTAGGAATCGGATTTTTAATGTGTATATTGAGAGCAAGTACTTATCATTGGGACGCAAAGGTTACTTCTTTTTCCGTTTCTCATTCGGTGCGTTTCTAAAGCGTCTCGTCTCAATACAACCTACTCTGTTTTATACATGTCTAAATCTATGAAACATATAATATTCCAGTCATAATAGTTTCTAATAAGGTATAGTCTCGCAAATCTTTAACCAACCTGGAACAATAATTATGCCTATAGTATATTTGTATGAGGTCACTACGTACCGACTAAATCTTGCATAATAATGACCAATGTCCTATGGTTTTTTGCCTTTAGCTCTATTATTTTTCGAAAACTTCTATATAAACATTTTGTAAAATAAAAAAATCTATGCAAACATATATATATATATATATATATATATATATATATATATATATATATAAAGGTTCTATACAACTGTCCACTGAATTTTGTGGTGTTTGCAATACCTAGTGTACTTATTTCGTATAAAAGTTGATAATTTTAAACGATTTTTGGGTGGATTTACGAAACGGTACAAGCTTAGCGTAGCTTTCAGTATATTACATGGCAGTACCAATATCGAACGTTGCATTGTTATGGTTCCTATTCAGAAAGCCGTTACCTTGAATATTGAACTAGCACGACTGCAGTTTACAAGTTACTTCTGTAACCAGTGGTCCCTAACTTTAGATCCTATTGACTCACCTACTTTAGCGTAGCTAATTCAATATTTTTTTCGCTTTTTTCTAAGCAGTGTTTTCCCTATCGATTTTAAGAACAACCCGAAGTACATTCAATCTACAATGATTCCCATTTGGTTCTTCGCTATTGATTTCAGCGTATACATCTAAAACCGATGTACGAGGCAGTAATACGAATGAATACGATAGCCATCAAACAAATTGATCGAGAATTGTAATTGCTATAAGAAATTGCTTAGTACGAACAACAACTTAGAGGTTTGCACGCGTTTATTTACTATGGTGAAAGGATGCACACTTCTAATAATAATTATTATCTTCAAACGAAAAAATTGCGTTTTTACACAAAGCAGCCTTCGTGGCATCTCTCTCCATATGGACTAGATGAAGCATCAGAGAATGGCCGTTGTGGAAAGGACGGCTCAAGGGTGAGAGGAAAGAATAACCGAAAGGGCGGGAAAGAAACCGGATCAGTGCTGTGAGTATCATCGAGTCCTGTATCGATGAAATAAATAGTAGACTCGAAGCAGGCTCAGATCAAGCTAGAAGAAAATAAAAGAGCCTTTTGGACTTTTCGTACAAGGACAATTAGTACGACGCTGTAGTACGCGGTAGTACACGATTAGCTGAGGTCCACAACGTAGTTCAGTATAGAGTGAAACAGGTAGGCGGTCGTTTTCCCCTAAGCAGATGTGCTCGTCTTTGACGGAACCTGGTCTTTGGACCTACATTCCTATTTTACCGCGCACCTATGCTATAGTCAGTGAACTTGTTATATGTAGTAGTACTAATAGTAGAAGCGGGATTCTCGGAACCGGGAATCATGCTATAGCGATGCTAAAGAAAGGGCTGTTCTGTGTTTGATGTCCATAAATGAATTGCTAAAATGTTTATTCGTTGCATAGTGTTAACGATGTGTTGACGTTATTGTTTTCTGGATTAGCCACTTTGTGCAACTACATTGTCAGCATTTTCAACAATTAATCTCAGATAAACGCATAATGACTATTATCTTGTACGGTTTATTAAATACACCGATTTTTCACGATAAATGACAATATATATATACTATTTTCATAGAATCTAACAGTTGTTTTGCTTGCCAAATGCGTTTGGTCCATACCAGGTAGGACGGTCTCGCCACAAACGCTTACGGTCACAAGCCCTAGTAGTGCAGAAAGAGTGAATGATAGCTATATCCTATTGTTCTTCTGTCTTGTCATGTAAAAGTGAAAGTCTAACAATTGTCTTTTTGAGAAATTAGGGAATGTGTGTCGACGTCGATTCTCAACTGTTTTAACAGTCAAACTATGCAGAGGTAGCCGAAGTAATATTTAATTTTCGCATATCTTATTCGTCTTATTATACGTGTGAAAAACCTTCGCGTTTCCTATCTGGGTTCTGAAGGTGCAGCACATAGTGATCTTTCATCGTAGAGTAAGTTAAACTACTTATTATCAGTTGTTGCACAACATGCGACCGTTTTTCAACGGTCAAAATGGGTTAACCTACTTACCTAGTGTACCAATTCAGTCCGCATTGTATACAATGATTGCAACGATGATTATTTATAGGCTGTTCAGAGCAGAAGGAATATCATGGCAGATCGCTTGTTAATTGGCCATTCGACTGCCGCTGCCTCGGCTATGTGGAACGATGATGACGAGTCGTTACACATTTTGACTCTACTGGGAATGAGAGGACGTAACGATCAGCACAGAATGGGAAAGTTCAATATCTCCCGTGCCAGGTTCCGCGGAGAAGGAAACTCCAGCCTTGTTCTCGCCTTTGAGGTCTGTTTCATGCACACGATTTCATTGTTTACAGTCGCACGCTTCTCAAGTATTTTTCACGGTGTTTGAGCGCATCGTTTACTCGATAATCGTTTTGTACTGATACTGATACTGCCTTAAGCTTATTTGTATATTGTATGGTGTGTAATGATACTAGCACATAATATTTCCATATTTTGGTAAATCTGTAAATTATAGATGTACCCTGTTGGGGCTCATTTTATTATGATATTGTAATATCACTCGTCACCGTAACAGCTCTAACTTTGCACCCTTGCAGGAGATACTGACTTAAGTCTTACGATGCAACTTATCGCCTTATCAGAAAGAAACAATGGCTGTGCAACCCTCTCGTTTTTTTTGGCACTCAAATGTGGCTTAGCTGGAAACACACCTACAACATACATCACTACATATATATAATAAATATAATACACTAGTATAATAAATATTCCAAATATTTGTGCTTTCCTTTTAGGATCATCCGTATGTGATTAAACTAAAAAAAGTGCCAATTTCCGACGTCGAGGTACGTTAATAGGAGGCTTCTTGACCTACATGTAAACGGTGTTTTCTCTGTTAAGTAAAAATAGAAACTGTCTATAAAAATAGAAACCCCGAGTGGCTATTTTAGCGAAAAACTGACGCTATCCGTCAGTACCGCAGGAGTCCCGCGATGTATAGTGATGTGTATAGTAAGTGAAAGATCTTATATTCAAATCAATACTGCAATTTAATTTTTTTTGCCTAAATTAATATGTTTTTATTGCATGTCAACATTGTGAAATAGAAGCACCGAGATTCAGGCGAGAGCTTTGATCGTGCTGGAGTTGCCGGTCTCTCGCGTTCGACGAGGAATTTGTTATCACTTAACTGTATAGGTAAGGGTAAAACCGTTTCCAAATTGCGTGGGTATTCCGGTTGTGCAGAACAGTATATTTTAAATGAGCGTATTCGATTGATATTGATTGATATATCGTATACATTTCATTCGGTTCCCTGAACCAAAAACGGCGCTGGCAATTCAATGCTTAACTTTTGCTTCTCGTATATTGCAGAAAGTTCAAGTAATTGCCGAATTGGATCCGACCAAGTATCAGCTGATGACTACTGGCTCTCTATGCACAAGTACCAAATCTCTTTTATAAAGAATGTTGCCGTACCCCTGTTAGGAGGATCTCTGGTCGACGTTCCTGTGAGTTCAATATCGTAATATTACACTTATGACAGGAGAAAACTCGTATGCTTACAATCCTACACAGTCTTAGTCCGTATATCCATTGAATGAACATGAAACTCGAGACATTGCTTTATAACATTTGACACCGCTGCTAGGGCTTTTATCGGACAGCTGGCCCCAAGCACTGAACGAAATACGTCTACGCCCGAATTCGAACAAACCCAGACCACCACGGGTGTAGCACCCGAACACATTGCCAATTAAGCCATCACGAAGACACCTTATTATTAGTGTATGGCTCATTTATCTAAGTCTATTCACTGCTACGAAATACTTACTAACGTAAACTTCTATATAGGGGGCTCCTGATTGTTGGATTGTTATATATAACCATCGCTGTAGTCTATTTCTCTTTCATCATGCCTGATATTATGGCGGCGATAAGAAGTGTATTCAGCTTCTAGGTTAGGCCTAAATGATTAATAGTAAATTTTAACTTTAGGCGTTGATTAAAATCAGCCGAAGTGAATTAGCTGCATTGCTCGCAGAGTCCCGCAAAGATCGAGCAGCGCATCGGCTGATGAAAGCTCCTAGCCCCCAATTGGGCTGCGGTTTGATTTTCCCTGATTGCTGCATATTCAAATCCAGCTTTAGAGCAGTCGATCCCGAGCAGGCTCGCTCAGTCATCAGCGGCTTTCAAAAAACGCGCAATTTGGACAAAGCTTGTTACGGTGAGTATTCAGACTGTGAAGAAAATATCTATATTTCTTTTTAATATTTTAAGCAAGAGTTTCCTTTGAAAAAATATTGTTTTATGTTCACATAATTATCCTTAACAGTTTTGCCATATTGTGTAGAAACGCTCATAGCATTTCCTATTTGTGGTCATGCTGGTTTTACAGTAAGCTTCAGCAACGTATTAAAACCCGGCTAATAACGCAAAAACAGCTCTTTTTATATATTTCCAGTAGAATGTAACACGTCACAATTATATAATGACAGCTTTATTGGGATCGGACCTGCTGGTCATCAAATACTAGTGATCAGTTATTTATCGATATGTGCCTCTCGTTTAGATGCGGGTCACGTTATTACTGACGGAATGGCGATACCTGTGCTAGGGCCAGTCATCAGTATTGAAATAAAAGCAAAAATGGGATTTCTGCCGCTACCAATAAAGAGCGACGCTGCGTGCACAGTGCCTCTTGATGTGATGACACGTCACTATCCAAACACGAAAGAATCGTCCGAAATATCGTCGGCATCATCCTGTTACAACTCGAGTAACAGTCCTCCGGGTGTGAGCCATCCATTGAAAGCTCACTCTCCCTATGATCTATGTCCAAGCAGTGCGTCTCATTGTCAGACTTCAGCGTCTCTTCAATTAGAGAAAACTCGTTTGAGATCGCGTTTGTGTCGTTTTCATATGGTTCAGCATCACAAGCTTCGCCAAGGTCGAATTCAGCACATCAGCAATTACTGCCCTCTTGACCTATTTAGTGGGTAAGTGCATAATAATAATCGTCATAATTTATTACCACTGTTTAACATGCAGGAGTCTCTACTTGAGTCAGTGTAATTTTGAAATCACATCTGTTATTCAAGTTTATAATTGACCTGCACTCCATTTGGCCTACTTTCACAAAATTGTTTATGCTATAACGTATTTTTTTCTAGCAACGAGACATGCTATATAGTAACCAATGAAGTATTAAATTTAATACAATGCATAACTACTGGTTAAATGTTATATGCAGAGCTCATAATAATAAACAGAAAACATTTTCATAGCAGAACTTTTGTACAACGATTTATCAAATATAGCTTTCGATAGACAATTAGTTAGTCTAGTTATTTTCGTTTTGGACGAATACTAGAAGCGTATCTAACTCTCGTCAATTTTAAATCATCGTTTTCGGTTAGCTAGCGTTTCTAAAGTGAGAACATTGGCTTTTCTCTATATAGATGCCCGGAGCGGATGAAGTCCGCTATTCTCGAACTGTTGCATAACCCACAAAATAATCTGCGCCTGTTCCGAAATCGCCGTCTCATATTTGGTGGAGAACATCAGAAGCTAGGACACGACCCTTTCGGAATTATACGTCTATTCGAGAATATGCTGTTCGACTTCCTTCCTGGCCACAAGCCCCATGTTAACAGTGGTACGAAATTAAGTTGCAACGATCAGCATACAGACACAATGTTGACTACCCATGCTATTACTGGGTCTACCAGACGCTCGGATGCTTTTACCACTGAGAATACCTTTTATAGCAATGATCATCCGTCTACGACAGACAAAAACTTACAACAGCTCGAGCACCAAAGTGTTATGGAACGTGCTCTGAGCAACGGGTGTGACGTGAGCGAAAACAGTGGAGATACACTTTCAGCCCAGAACCAGAGTTGCCATGACAAACATCCAGTTGAAACTACACAATGTTGCCAACTGACTCATGGCGACGTTGACAAAAACGTCGACGAAAGCAAAGGCATCGATAGTGAACCTACAGTGTCAAAAAAATCGGCCCAGTACGAAAGCTCAGTAAGTCATCTGTGCAATTTGATTCGGTTAGCCTTATGTTTTCCCTTACAAGAAGATCGATGCCAGGAAATTCTATCTGGGAGCGTTCGTCTTGAGACACGATACTGCAAATACTCAACAAAGTGCAGCTGTTACGATGTGACATATAATTATCCAGAGACACGATTTTTTAAAAAATCCGGTGAGTTCCTTTATAATACGACAGCAAAAATGTTGATCATCCAATCATAGCTGCGTCGAAAGCTCTGTATAACTAGATGTTCATGGCGTAGCCTGCAGCTGCTGAAATTACTGTATATAGAACAAATCTAGAATTAACATCATTGCAGTAGTATAAGCAGACAAATTAGAGATTAAGGCTCAAAACTATCACTAGAGTAAATATGCCAAGGGTAAAGGTAGCTAAATTCTGTTTTGCATTTTATATATTGTATTCCTAGAGTGGTTATGGTACTATACACTCGGCAAATAATTCACTATACTACCTTTATGCAGAAATATAAAACAGGTATTTAATTCGTTTGGGTTCTCGCGGACGTGTGTGCAGCTGATGACCACGTCCACAAAATCACCTCAGAACTAGGTAGGACAGAAAATTTTGGTAAGATCCAAGATTGACCACATTTATTATGTTACTTATTTAACATTCGTCACTTTTTGTAGCCTCCTGTGAAAAAAACAAAATGTGCGAGGCCAGCATTCATGGCGATAAAAAGCCGCTCTTAAGACACGACATCCCTCACGGTTCAGTACTTTATCGAGTGCTGCAGGTAATTTGAGTGACCACATATCATTACGTAAATTTTTTTGTCATTTCATGCTATTTCACATATCTTGCAATCGCAAATAGAAACAACCAAAGGTTAATCTCTAATAATAGAAATAAGCGAACGTTTTACATCCTCATTGCAAAGTTAGTAAGCTATAAGTGCTGTGTTGAGGCTACGGGGTCATGCAGGTTCCTCTATACTACTCATCAATAACATTTCTCAGGAAACATTTCTGCGTGAAGTTTTACTCTACACTCTCTCTACACTCGGACGTTATTTGCAGGCTCAACAACTCTGCTCAGCAGATGTGTCAACGGTGCATAAAGCTTTCTATGAGGACCATCGGCCAGAAGACTTTGTGGAAGGAAGGTAACGCTAATTACTGCTGGTAATTATTAAAGCAATATACCCCTTTGTATCCAGTACTTCAAATTTACTTTGGTAAGCTTTTTTTGAACGTATGATGTATCAATATAATAACAACTCCTACTAAATCTTTAGCGCGAAGCTATTTGAGTTCACCGTGTGTAATCATGTGGAAGGAGTCATCGCTAATCGTAGAGAATTATTGTCTGAGTTGATCTATATTCCAGTAAGGCTTTAATATCAAACTTGCTAGCCTTTTTCTAATTCTATATACGCTGCAGATTTCCATGGCCGGCCATACCTTGTAATCCCGAATGTCTGACAAATAACGAAAGAACGCCTCACGAGACGATGTCACAATTTGCCTCAAGGATTCTCTGGAAGCATCTGGTTGCCCTTACTGCTCGCGATTGTTCCTTGATGCTCACGATGCAAAAAATCGACATTAGCAGGTGGACTGGAAACATAAGGTTTGCCTAAAAAATGTATAGTACAATTTAGAAGTCGATTTCCCATTCTGTCTAAACTAGGGACTTTCAGTGATTTTTTTTGTGTTTAGAAAATTAGAAAAGCTTGGCAATCAAGTTGTTCTAATTGTTCAAAATTAACAGTAAAGGGTTACGATATTTTTAGTGAACGAAATATATATGCCTTGGCTTGACAAACATCTTCCCTGAATACAACTTACTCATAACGCGTTACAAGCATGTAGCTAGCATGTAGCAACTTTCGCTAGAAGCATGACGTGGTACTTCATATGAAATAAAAACAAAATCATTTAGCTCAAGTACGGCAAGCTACAGTTTGCATACATCATGCATTATCTTCAGTTATTTGTGTTACAGCGATTCTCGATTGAATATATTGGACTATGGCGACGAGCGATACCTGCTACAGATCGGGATCGTTGACCTGGAGCCCAAAGCGCTCGACAGAATACCCGAGCACATGCATGACGACCTTGCAATGGCAATGAATTTCTCCCTCGCAACGACCTAGGTATAGTTGCTCAGCTTCTGTTGTGTGCTTACGTTAAGCCATCTACATTTTGATATGTAAATATAGTTTCAATTGTAAATACGACTAAGAGTGAAGGCTACGTTTTGAGCTCTAAAAACATGTGGCCACATAACAAATACACCTAACAGTGAAACACCGTGCATAGAATCAAGGCAGAGTGAATAAAAGGTCCTTAGCAGTAAAACGAAATTATAGTTCTAAAAAGTGCTGTAAGAGGACTTCCTGTATAAGCAATCACCCGTAAAACTCAAGATGATAAACAATGTGTACTTTAAGAATATGCTTTTTATGAGGCGGTTTCTCAGTGAACTACAGAAAACGTAAATTCATGGTAAACGAATAGAATCTCCGAAGGAATAATATAAACCGATTATTCTTAACGAAACGATAGCGGTCAGGAATTGTTAATTTTCATTGTTCGCCAGTACATTTCAGGAAATTAGATATTCAATAAACGCGACCCTTTGGATTTGGACGCTAAAAGATTGAAGTTCTCAAATTGATATTAGCTTTACTACTACTACTACGACTACTAGACCCATTAGCTATATGGTACCTTTTTATGGGCTATTCCTAAAACTCCTAAAATATGGCCTGCTAAGTATCACTGTGTCCATGGAGGTCTGATGCAATACGAAGAGTTTATGTGATGTGTATATGAGTGTATCAACAAAGATGATTGATAAAATGTCTTTGTTTCATTCGTTATTTACCAGCTTTTTCAAAAGTCTTGGCACACACAACCCAGTGTTTGGGATGCAAACTATATATATACATATACGAATTATTCTCTGAAAGCATTTTTTTGTCTCCAACTTATATTAGCAATTCTGATGGCTAATGCATCGATGACTAGTGCATACTCACAGTTTAATTTATTGAGGCTGCTTGTCTTATTGGTGTTGACGTTTTACTGTTTTTTGATGATGCACATTTGTACTTTGTGAAGTTCTTTGAATTTTCATGATTGTTTCCTAAGGACACCTTCTAATGTTGGCCGCGGCCCGTTTCTATACAAAAGAAAGAGCGCTTTCACCGATGATAGCATCGTTATGTTCTTCGAATAAACGGTGATATTCTGCTTCCTCACGCGGCTCTCTTCAGCTTTTGGTAGCCATATTTGTAAATGGCATTTTTCTGATCCTCTAGTATAGACCACTAGTGAAGAAGCTTCGCTCCAGGGGGCAAGAGGAGCTTCTCACTCGTAATGCAGTTCGATGATCTAGAGAACATTTTTTTCAGAAGGCTGTACGCACCAAGACAAAAAAAAGGTAAATAACTCGCTACTAAAATGCCCAACAATATACGACACTTTATGTATATTATCGAAATTCGCTTCGGTCGGGTGCAGCCACAATCTAAGTGGCTTAGGATGCGCTCATCCGTAGAAGCGGACTTAAAATCACTTTGAAGTGTCATAAATCAGGTGATTTTTAGGAAAAGCTTATCATTTCATATTAGCGATTGCTTAAAATTCAATTCAGTGCACCACCAGTAGTGATTAGTTTCGCATCGTCGGTAGGGGTACGCCAAGTATTAAGCGACATATCTAGAAAGTGATCTCGCTCAGTCATCATGTTGAGTTCTATTCGCGATAGTTATGTATACTAGGCTTCTTCAAATGATTCTGTATTAAGCGTCCATAAATTTCTTCCTTTAACATGTGTACGGTGAACACAAAAATAATATATCATTGTTGAAACTAAATACACATTGAACTCCAGATCTGTCATCTCATTTATTAGAGGGAATAATATCCTTGCCGAACTTGAAGTACATATTACAAAACCGAGTAGAACAGCGTTGGCTAGTGCCATTATTCTTGGTCATAGTTTTGAATCACATACCCTCCGAATAAATTTAGAAGTGTGAGTTTTACCTACATTATGTTCATTTCCTGTTGTACGGTCTACGTACTCTATAAATAACGCAGGTTCTTATTAAAGGAAAGCGCATCGAGGGATGTGCACATGGTGGTGTACAATTTGACCAACTTGATAATAAAGTCGTCAATAGTTAAATGCTAACAATAGCATCTGCCCCAAATTAAGTACTTTGTTTTGACGGTGATGAGTTAATAGGCGCCTGGGGCAATGGGCAATTGCAGTACGAGTTGTCATCACATTTCTTCTAATCGATCAATTTTTTCTGGTTAAATTTATTTGTGCTTTTTTTGAAAGTTTTTAAGTGTTTATGAGGAAGTTTTCGGGACTGAGGCTTTGGTGAAAACATTCGATTCAAAATAGCGTACGAAAATGAACATGGTGCCGTATGTGAGGGAGGCTCTTCTCGACTTCTCTGATGAGTTGAGCCGATTTGCGTTTTAAATTCTTACACCAACATCAGGCCTATTAATTGAACTTATTTGTATTCTATTTTGAGATTAAAAAAAATTGGCAAAAAGTTTGGAATGGTGCTTTACCTAAAGGGGGTTACTTTTGAAAGCCGACAGATAAGTTACACACAAATGTTATCATACAAAAAAAACATTTTTAGATGAAAATGGCGAAAAAAGATGCGTTTCGGGCGTCGGCTAAAGGCCTACTTGATCTATACTCTAAATCTTCCCTGAATGGCGGTCAAAATTTAGCCCCCGAACCGCCAATACCGGTCGGCTTTTTTATTCCCTTATCTATAACTATCAAAGAACAAGCAAAACGTTGGCCAAGGCCAACTGTAGTTGATATAGTACAGTAATTTTGCGCTCTAGAATTGGTCAGTTCCATAAGACAGGGATGGTTCTAGTCATCTATGTGGCTTTTCTCCTTTTAGCCCTCTTACCACGGGGCAACAGGACGTTTAAAAAAAACAAAGTGCATTATAATAAAATTTCTATACGAAGTCAATATACAAGCTCAAATTACTATCCTGAAAAGTACGAAATAAACAGTACGAGTATATAAACAAGCAGAATATTGCGTGTACCAGAAGTAAGTTGGCGGTCACCCGGTTTAGATTAACACACAATTACTCGACAAGGGGGAATCGTGTTCGATGATATCTGTGACATGAAGGGCTTGACGAAGCCGCACGACTAAAGGTTCCGCCTCTGAGCAAACGATTAAACCACACAGATTAGGTGAACGTTTAACAGAAAGAAATCGATTTCGTAACCCGTATGCAACAACGCTCATTTAGCTGTGTGGTCGAACTTCATTAGGTCGCAGTACTGGACGGATCGCGATCTACAATATGTAGTTCCAATAGGCACTGCTTGTTTGGAGCAGCAAGTTTTAAGTACCTCTAATAGAAAAAAAAACATCGATGAATTACCAAGCTGTTGCTGGAAGCTATGTTCCTCCATTATGAAGATGGCATATGCGACAATGTCAAGGACGGCGTCGATCGGTCAAAGCTTTGTATAAAAATTAGTACGGAGGTCTAAGGCTTTAGTAAAAGATTGATTCCTGTATACGAGGAATTACAATGAACCGCCTGGCCAATATTTAATTGTCCGTAGAGATAGGCAACTTTGATTCTCTATTGATATCGAGGCTCGAGAAAGCAACTGCTCGCCAAGGATAACGGTGTAAAGGCTCCACCGATTAGTCAAAAGGCACCAAATGAAGCATGTCTACTGGAAGGTACACCCGAATCTATATGGGCGTAGGCGAAGAGCGAGAGCAGGATGAAAGATGAAGCCAACGAAATTGACATGTTGCGATGATTAAGCTTTTACAGATTTGAGATAACATTGCTTCAGTGACACATATATAATGTATATATGCGTGTCGGCATATATACAGACCATATGTGATACATACAGAACCAGCAATGTTTCAGGCCTAACGATGGCCAGGTGCTGCCTCTTAACTAGGCCCGCGCAATTAAAGTCATAACCATAATAGGATATTAGATTAGCTCCATAATGTTGCATATATTGTGTAAGTACGTGTGGCATAACAGTGATTTAGGGCACAATGACTTCTTGCGCTTCTATATATAGTCGCCGATTTTAGCTGCCCAGGTCGTATTACATGCTATGAAAGTACGAAGAATATGTGCAAAATTCAGTTACTTGGTGACACTTACTGGGGTTGCAGCAGAGTGTGGGTAGAGTCTAATGAAAATTTTCAAGTATGCATGGGAAGTAGGAGATCAAGGAGCATCGGGCAAGCGGCATGAGGATTCAAAAACGTACGCTTCCCGTTAACTTGATATCCCAAGTAAACTCTATGCTATATAGTGATCATTTACTAACTTAGGTTTAGTAACACCATATTGGCCCTAACATAAACCAAACATTTTATCAAAATTGGCAAAAATAAGAAGGTTTAGTAACACCATATTGGCCCTAACATAAACCAAACATTTTATCAAAATTGGCAAAAATAAGATGTGCTTCGTATAGTTTCGACCTACAAAAAAAACTTTTGCTTTTTCTCTTATCTTACATATATTCGGGGCAGTACACACCTTTGTGCCTTTTCCGCTCTTTTAAATGTTAAGGTGCGCTTTATATGCACGTGTGACGCTGCAAGAGACGACGCTGCAGTTTTGCACCTCAGTTACCGCTTCAAACGAAAGCTGTACCAGTTTTTACTTTAAAGTACGTACTCTCTAGGACTGAAAAACAGTACTCATATTGTCCGTTCATAATCACTTATTAGGTTTTATTTTGTTACGTATGAATTTCCAACATCAACATTTCGACGATACCTTCTAAAATAATAGCTTAGCATATTTTCTAATTAAAGATGCAATATATCGTACACAACATACACTAAAGCTGGTACAGAAATTCTTGTCGTGCAGCCTTGGTAATGCGATAAGCTAATAATACATTGTGGATCAAGTGCAGCGGCATAGTGAAGTCGTTATGTGGTTCTACCATTATTGTTCTGTCGACGGCGTATGGAAAGGTAAAACGTTTGCTCTCTCCTTTGCTTATATTGTCCTAGCAATTGTCCTTTCCCTGTCATTACGCTCTCGCTTCACAGCGATACATAGAGGCCAGAATAGGGCAACGCCGCTGGGACCAATCGATGCGAATCAACATTTAGCCTTGTGGTAGTAGTTGTAGTTACCATCACCATAGCACCGGATCATACCACTATCGTCGTATCCAGAATATTACCATCCGACAGCCATCGAAAACTACCAAGTAAGCTAGTGCTCTTCCTTACACGCGAGTTTGTTCAAGATCAAAAATTCGGAGACACTTCTTCAAGGAAAGGACAACCATTTTTATGGGTTAAGCACATATCTAACTAGGAATAAATAACAATTCACAACGAAGGCATTGTTCAAACAAATAGGACACCACACCGCATCATGGAAGTTGCTATTGTTTAAGTTAATTTAATTGTAAGCGTCATCACTATATCGATTAACCGGATCCGTATACAGATCTGTTAAATACAGAAGACGTTGTACCGACTAATGCATGAAAATTGTAAAAATATGCTAGGTTCAACTTGAACGTTTACTTTCTTATTAAACGCCAAAGGAAAAAGCGATAAGCTATGTCAAGCAATCGTGGGACTAATGACCATAGCGTTAGCAAATGACTGTTATGAAATATGACAAGCGCGTCGTTTCCTAGGTGAATCCAGCAAGATCCACCCGGACTACCCCTTCTAGTGGGAGCAAGACCTTGATTCTCTACCGAAGAGATTACTTTTTAGCGCAGTAGGAATAATCGAAAACGTTAGAAAATAGCAAAAAAAGTAGCTGTAGGAATGTTTTCGCGTAGCATCCGTCATACGTAAATACAACGTAAATTTAAGCAAAGATAAATAGCTTTTCGCCTTTTTTTTTTATTTTAGACTTCGGTAAATCATATGAGTTCGATAAAATTTTAAGTCATTACAAGGAAACAACCACAGCTACTTATCTATCTCTCCGCTTCTGACAATGACAGGGAAAAAGCAAATTCAGTGCTGCTAAAAAGGACTCAACGCCAATAACATATTAGATGTTTTATAAATCTAACTTCAAGCGAAGCATTTGTTTCAAATCTTGGTTTATGATTTTAAGCGACACCGATGCTCGTACAAACTCAGCGTATCTGCGGTTGGAAATATTTTATATTTGAGTAGGCCTATTCCATTCCCTTTACCAGAAACGACTAGACGTAGTGTCAATTCATCTTTGAGACCCTATGCTAACTAAGATTCGCAATTCATATTGCCATCTTTGCATAGTAGTAATAAAACAAACGATACTAAAATGCTCAAACGGGGTGTGCTTAGGGAGCTAGCATATCATAATTTTAAAGGCTCCAATGTTCGGCTTCAAGAAATTTAACTTTTTTCATAAACTTTTGATCAAACGTAGTTTTTACATTTGTATAAGTAGCTTAACATTTATACCAGGCTAACTATTGAGCGACTACTGGCAGGATCACTGCTTATTGATTGTTATTACGAAATGTCGCTCCTGCATTTGATGCCTTCAGAAAAAAGTAAGTACCCCGCTTAAAGCAGGTGCGCCCCAGTGTGGCGTTCAAATGGCAGAAAAACCCAACTGACCGATTAGACCACGGCTACGGCAAGCCTAACGAAACTAAGTCTGTCTAGATCTGTTAAGCCCTTTTGCGCCATTTAAAAAATGATCCGTAAATTCTTCCACGCAAGTTGATCACAATGGCTTGTGAGTGAGCGCAGGACACAAACTCAAAGAACGGGAAAACCATATTTTTCAAAGAACGTCACAGATTTTAGTACAGTGATTACAGAATAGGCGCCATCAAATCCTTATTATGTATGCACAAGCCTGCCCTCAAATTTCACATATTTTCGCAATTTTGGATAATTTATCAGGCATCAAAACTGTGTTCATGTTATTGCCAAAAAACAGAAGTCATCTAGATAGGACGTAACGTCGCAAAAAAAATCAAATGGAGGCTTATTTAATAGATTAATCAAACGTTCTAGAAAGTTTGATTAAACCATAAGTTTGAATAAGCATTTGCATCGAATACGGTTTTAAATACGCTGTCATAATAACATAATAGTCGCTACTTGGGTTCTTGCTGATTACTTTCAGTTTCCTTTCTAGGTACCCTAGTGACATCTTCACCATTATATAGTTCTACGCTATTCTGTTCTAAAGTTCAAAGCGTCTTTACTGGAAAGCAAGAGCTATTGATTGAGTAATTCAAATTTACATACATATTAGTTCTTTCCTTTTTTGTACATATATGCAACTATTTACAAAGTTAAAATTTCGATCTTTTCCTCTTTTTGTCTAAGGGATAAAATCTCTTAAAACCCCCTCTAAAGGTCTTGGTCACAGGCAAGACCCTTAACGGAAGTAACTGGTCTCATACGATCCTCCAGCGAACGGGCTTTTTTTGGGTTGATATACATACTCAGAACCTTTCGGATGTTGAAGTCGATCGGCGGCGTTACGCTTATTACGATATTTTTTTACTTGTTTTTCTGACACTGTTTATGTAAACTTGTAATGGAAATTGTGTACTGCCGACATCTAGTTTTGACATAGCACTGCGGTATTATGTCTTCTAAGGAAAAATTGTCATGTTTGATATAACGAGCAAAGGGGGAACATGTCATCGAATCTATCCAGGTAAACAACCTATGCTAAACGTTTGTTTTTAATGGTACTTGTTGCTACAGGCACTCCTATATATCACTTCACAGAAGCCAAGAAAAGCAAAGGACTAACATACCTTACTTCATATACAGCCACAAAAAAGACAAAAAAACATTTATCTCTTCGTCATTATCACTGCGACAACGACTATAACGAACTCCCAACCCATTTACACCGCTGCTGACTATATCAAGGTGAAACCATGTTGCAATCTATCATTTTTCTTTTTAGTTACGGTTTCTTAAAGTACCTTTAGGCCTATCTATTTTCATACTTGTGGGATCGCTATACGGGGTAAGTTCTGCGGTAGTTAAAGGCAGATAAGCCGAAGTCGATTTCAAAGCCTATGCTTTCTTTGCACTTTGTGGAAGATTCATACACCGAGCGCCATCCATCCTCGTCTGTTTGTTACCCCCTTAAGATATCATCGGCTACAAAAAACAGGGCATAAACGTTTAGAATTCAAAACTCAGGTGTAAGTACATTAGAATAGTGTGGTACCTGACGAACTTCGGGCGAGTTCAGATTGGCTAGATCAAATGATTCCGTGGGTATGCAGACATTCAGTCTAACCAGTCAAATGATAAGTTTGTTAATGATAAATGGAATGCTCTATATTTTTTTGCAATCATTTTTTTCGCCAGATACTTTTCAAGATTTGCTTTGAAAAAATACCCGGCTTAATTTCATTTTGTTAAAGTCATTTGTATGAGCCAACACATCCTCAAACCGTGGCAGTTCATAGCAGTTTATTGCTGTAAGTTCTGAGTGTGAACCTAAAAAATCAGCCAATTAGTTTGTGAGACAATATTTGTCCACGGCTATAGAGGTCTCGTTTTTGCGAAAGCAAAAACTGGGACTCTGATCATATGGCTTTTAACATCCTAATTTTTGTTTTCTTGCTTTGGCGGAAGCAATCCCAGCCTGTTTGTCACTGGACGGGGCCAATACACGCTAAACACCGTTATGTATGTAGCGATAGCAGCCTTGGCTAACTTGAACCGTTGGACATCAACGTCGATAGAGACTTTCGTGACGTAGGATAGGATATAAACCTACATTACGAACTGCTGAGAGGCTAGCATGCGCGCTCCACAAGATATAACGTTTACATAGTAATTTACAAGTTAATTGCCTAATGCACATCTTGAACTCAGCTATAATTATATTATGCTATTACCACGTGTTTATCAAGCTTTTGTCGGGTTCAAACTGTATGCCTGTTTGTCTGTTTAAAAAGATTTTTCTATTCCATGCGTATTGTTCCATACGATAGTGTGATACGATTTCGTGAACTTTTTACAGACTGAATCTAGAGCAATTCACCGATTCGATATAGGAAGTTTAACTGGAAGTTCTGCTGTAACTATATAAAGAGGTCTCGCATTGTGAATACCTGTTTCAAAATATGCCTGGTGTCCGCAGCTTGCCGTGGTACGACTCCATCACTAAAAGAGAGCTTTATGCTTTGATTATGTGGGGCTGCTTTATAGATTAAGAGTATGATATATAAGAATCTCCAACATTTCATTTAAAGCTTCCACGACGGCCGCCAGTATGATTCGCAACGGGATATCAACATTATCTTTCAATTTACCCTTGTGGACTGCCTTATTTGTAGTCGCTCATCTACCGTCGTCATGTAAGTGTTTGTTGGCTGTTATGTTCTCGCAATTTAATTAATCATTAATTAAATTGTTTTTCATTACTGATCCTCATATTTCAAGCTTTGTGAAGATATGCACATACTCCAGTTGCGCTAATCGTTGTTATATTATACTAACTAACTAGCTATTCTTTATGCTATACCCGTTGACATGAATTCAACATTATGCACACTTGTTTCGCCTGTCCATCGATGCTCAAATAAAGGCCTACTTTTACATACATAAACATATGCGACACGCGCCTACTACCTACCTACCTACTCTATCTAACAGTGACTACAACCACTACTTTCTTATCAGAATTGTACAAAGTTGATAAGTGGTAATCTTTTTTTCCGTTTTTCTACAGTTACCAATTGCATCTATACGAATGAATTGGGCCCGTTACAAATGCTTTTTTTAAAACCTCACCACTAACTTGAGCGGCTGGTTCCGTATTATAGACTCGATTCTAGCGATTGGCAATAACGTTTTACACAAGTGTTCATAACAATTAATTGGTCAGGAACGATATATGAGCGTCATTGTAACCTTTTCGTTCCATCTTTCTAATAACTCCTGAGCTTCCTGGCATCTTTCGAAGATTTAGTTTCTAGCAGTACGATAAATAAATCTACTTGTTGTAGTTCAATTTATTGATTCCTTCTCAGGCATCCCCAAATAATATTGATCGTATTCGGTAAAAACACCTTTAGACAAAAGATAAATTAACTTTTTAGACTCGCAAATCATCTAGGCGGTGATAATTCTTAAGAGATTAGCAATAATTTTTGAAATAACAATGAAAATAAATCCAGACAAGTCATCATATATAACAAATCTAAATGTTTCAAGTTTCAACTTCTTCAAAATGACCATTAGACTGGTTATATGGCATTTGATCATGGAAAAAGCTATCCGTTTCAGTCGTAGTGAGAGTGAGATCGGTAAATATGCCTTAAAATAATTATGGGCAAATAAAGCAGTTATTACAACGTTCGAGTCGAGAAATGTCACATTTATCGAACATGCTTTTCTTGCTGAAATTTCGATTACTTTTCAGTGGGACAGGTTTAGGTCCACTTTCCCTCGCAAGCTAACTTGATAAGATCGTGGTATAGGAAACGATAACGCCTAGAAGTTATTTAACTGCTACTCAATAGAAGCATTTTGAAATTGCCGCCACAGTTCTTCTTACGTTTTTCCGTAATTCATATATATATAAAGTCGAGGGAAATGTTACTATCTTTTGAACGGAGCCGATGTATTCCCAGTCTCCAATCAACGGCGTAAACGACCACTCTTTGACTGAAGCAGTCAAGCTCCAAAATGACAAGTTATCTATATTCAAACTCTAGAGGATGGGGTAGCACAATCCAAAAAGCGGAAGCCACTAACCTGGTCGCCGATAGAGTCAGATTAATAGACGTAGTGTTGTAAAGGCATGTTCTATATGCCTATTGGCGCTGAACATAAAATACAAAAAGAGCTTCGGACGTGAGGAACTATTCTCTGGGAAAGAAACGTAAAAAAATATAAAAATGGCGTTAGAGTGTCGTTGCCACAAACGTTTTGTACAAATAAATCCATGCCTCACTGCGAGAATTCCAGTTTGTCCTGTTACTTCAATATATATGTATATAAATTAATAACTGTCAATGGGCTTCTGCCTCATATTGTGTGTATATGTAATTACATCTAGAGACATTTTCTGTGTATTTTCTTCATATACACAGAAATTCATTACCTGCCTTTTATTTCGTCATGATGATCAGTTAATCAGTCAGTGCCATTGTTTTGCCGGTTGCAACAACAGCGGCTCTAGCGACCCTTATTGATTTTTTCCATGTCTCTCCACAATGTATAGCAGGTGTATCTTTGCAACGCTGTCTTTCAAGCGATTCGCTTTGATTTATCAATCTTAGTATCTCCAAATGATCATTGTTAACATTTAGCCTTTTTAACTAAATGCACTCTTATTGTGTTATATAATTTCAACAGGTCACCAATTTAGATGCGGCCGCAACCAAGTTATAATGTGGCTGAAGCATAGTGCCATTGGCGCTAGTGAAATCACTGAACAGAAATATACAAGTCATATTAAATCTGTTACTTCTACGCGGAAGCCCCTGCATGCACATCACATAGATAGTGATGTAATAATCTTACTACAGGCAATATGCCTGAATACAAAGGAAATCTATGATGAATCTGATCATTTATGCTGCTAAATGTTTCAGCTCCGCTATGTACCCACCCAGTTTCTTCGTGCATGCCACATTGGAATTGCCTGCGACGAGATTCGTCTGGCTGTCCCTATTGTGCACCTGAATGCAGGCTCGATAAAGCGGGTTGTCCATTGCCAGTGAGAAACACATAAACAAATTATAAATAGGAAATTAAAATAGCTTTAAATTAGTAAATTTAAAGATAATTTACTGAATTATAGATTGTTACAACCAATCTGTCCTTAAGTAGCTGCAATTATTGTTAGTTTCCAAGTAGCCGAAGGGCAACGTGTAGCATGTTACATCATAGAATCCAGGAGGCGAATGTATTTCTAATTTTCAAAATACCATTGACGAAAATATTACTAATAGTATAAGGATAAATATCTAAGTTTGGTGCATTTTTTGAAAAGCACGGGTTCTAGTTTTTTCTAGTACTCCGAGGACAACTTAGTGGAGGCTAATTGAATAACATCGATTTGTGTAATAAGCCGAGTTGATTTGCCTTCTAAGAAGACCTTGATAATAACGATTTGCAGGTAGCATGCCTTCGAATGTTAGGCTGTACAGAGGAGGTGAACGGGTGCGTGGTCTGCACGGAAGCGTGCACAGTACGATCCCAAGGTCGGCGATATGAAAGAAAATTTGACGACTTTGTAATGCCACCTGACCAAGATAATCGTCCAGGGAAGCAAGACAGCCACCAAAAACAAAAACGTCCATCGTCGTTTTTAGTTCTATCTCCAAAAGCTGATGCTTCATTTGGCCGAATAGGCGTCGCCAGCCAATGGAAAAACCATATGGCTGCTACCAGCAAGCCCGTTGCCTTACCAAGCGCTAACGACAGTATAAACGATGTATAAAAGTGTAATAAATCTACCGACCTGATATTGAACCAATTCCCAAGGCTACAATTAAGTTTCTCGGAACTTGAAATGTAGCAACTGTAATGCTAGTAGCTATTGCATAAACCTAATATATTGTACATGAATGAAAACTTTTTTTTCTTTGTAAAAACCCAACTATTTTTTCTCTTTAGAGAACCTTAAGAGAACTGTAAATAAATGTACGTAACAAAAACGCTATCTCTTTTGTTACTATATAAAAATCGGTACAGTAATGGATGTGAATGTTTTGTGTGTATAGGCAGATGGTATAATTCCTCACAACTGTCGGCGCACAATAGCGTAATAAACTTGTTTACCAGAGTTTTAGCGCCCACTTCGCCGTGCCTATTCATCTTCTGCGAGCATCGAAGCTAAGTGGCCTATTGCTAGACATACTTGTTCTAACAAACAACAAGCTGTTTTCATGTGAATGGAACCTTATAATTATATAAACAAGATTCTCCTGCGACCACTTTAAATGCCTGTGCCAATAGCTAACAGTAAAAATCTGAAATCCACACAATACTCATGTACAACACGACCTTAACATTGTCGCCATCAATAATACTAATGTCGAATAACACCTGTTATCAGGTACAACATGTAAGGAACTCATTAATTGCTATTTACTTTATACAAAATAACCCGCCTGACGCATAGAAACGTCAACGAACTACAAGTCTGAGTAATACTTGCAGTAGTCGCTTTTGTTCGAAGCCGTCGCTGAAACATCAAGTTCGTTACGTTTGTGTGGACCTAGACTAATATAACCACTTGATTTTTTACATGTTTCCTATTCGAAATCATGAAGATAGATAGATCGACAAAGTAAGAGGCAAATTTCGGCATGCTGCATATACTAAAAAGTAGCTCGTCTTCAATTATAGCCAAACGACTGTACTCGGAATTCTTAGAACAAATTTATTTAGAAAACGGTACTAATCAATATTTTTCCCACTTAAATGATAACTACAGCACATCGAACTATTTGTTCCTGTGGTAGGTGCAGGTTACAAATTCTGTGTATTATATGAATTGTAGAATCTATAAGTAACATTGCTGTGGTCGCATGCATTGCCGCAGATGATTGGCAGACTAATCTCTGCCATGCAACAAATCTAGGGTTATCTGTTGGTCTTAAGGCGCAGCCTAGTGGTATACATCAAGCTGGAAATACTGATGTCGTTTTTGTTTGCGCGTTTATAAAACGTAGAGAAAGACACAAAGCAAGAAGCAAAAGAAATTGGGGTTCGGGTCAAGTGTGGAATTTATGAGAGAGAAAAAGAGAGATATGAAGATGTAGAGTTCATCAACCAGACTCTTCTAACAAACGAAGTTCTTATCCGACGCTGGCTTGAACTTTTATGCCAAAACTTCCCGTTTCCCAGCTTAACTTTGACGCAACCTGTGCGCGCAACTGCTTAGCTTCTATGGCACGTACATATATTTATACACATACCATTAGGCAAACGTCAAGCGCGGAATAACCATGTCTCGTTTGCCATCATTATTTGCTCTCAATTCAAAATTCAAAGCAAAGATTCGCATTTGTTTATAGGACTCGTATATGGCTGATGTGACTACTGGTTATACATATATGTGCCTGCATTTGTACAACACGTATTATTTTTGGCATCAACAATCAGACACAGTTCGAGGGCTTCAAATTTTGCCGCGCAATGTTTACGTCAAATAGCAACTACTTCTATAAGTACATATATATTGTCAATTTGATTAGTTGGTGCGAGCCATTGTATGAGCTACAATTTTGAAAAACAGGTCCATGAACATGAATACGAAGAGAACAATTTAGAATATATATTCAAACAGGTAGAGAATATCAATCCGTGTAACTAAGCAGATACGTTCACTTATGATACCAAATACAGGAACGAGATAATGCCACTTTATAGGGTTTGCTCATCCATACGATTGGCCTGTTAAAGCCTATCGGTACATCTAATTATTATTAATTATTATTATTAATTGATGTACTTCATTAGAAGTACATCAATGACCTTTGTACTACCATCGCAGCCGACAGCTTAATTGTACGTCATTAAGCGTGAGGCTAAACGAGTATTCAAGTCTCAAAGAGGTCATTGATTCGGGCGTTAAAAACACTAATACACCGGTTGACCTAGATGTAAATTTAGCGTTGCATTGCAAAATTATTTGTATAAGTAGAACATTTCACCATAGCATGAAAAGGCATGAAAATAAGACATTTCCATTCACAAATAGTCCTTTACATCCCCATACATATCCCTCCACGAATTAGACCTGCAACAACGTCGCTTGTCCCTCTCTCTGTAATGTCTCTGACATGTCCCTGGGAAACATAAATGCTCGCAACTTTTTTCAAAGATCCGCGACCAGTTACTGAAGATGCATTAAAAGTAGATGAGGCTTTTCGAGGTAACGTTTATAGACGTTCGAAAATCTCGCTATCGTTGCTCCGTCAATAATACGGTGATCTGCGGACCAGCTGATTTCCAGCACGTGTGCGGGCACAATAGTGTCGTCTTCCAGATATCGAGGTACCTTTCGAATGCGTCCAAGGGCTCCTATACAAACATTTGGTGGTAGAATCACTGGAAAAGTGTACGTGCCACCGATCTGTCAAAAAAAATGTAAAATTCATTTTTTATACTAACGGATCATTATTGTTATTATTAGTTATTGGACAGAGTGACAGGGACTAACTTATGTTTGCCACATTATAACTTAATACACAGGTTGCGTAGTGGGCGTCATGGGTCTGGCATACCCAGCAGAACACCGACTAAGTTGGCTTGTTACGTTATGTGATACTATTGTTATTATTATTTTATTTATTTGTTTATTTTATTAATTATTGGGCAAATGGGTAAGCAAAGTAATAGGTAAAGTAATAGGCTCTCCTTTTATCTAAGGCAATAATTTTATAATGTAGATAGCTTTGGCAAACTGTGAAGTTATATATAACTGAATATACAAGAGCCAGTTTGTAAAGACTGGAACAAAATGCAATCAACCATTGTTTTCATTAACACCTAAAAACGGACAGCTGGTACAGAAGTAATTCACAGCAGCTGCTTAATATTTAACTGTGTAATGCAGTGATGTATACAAAGCACCTTCTCTTATTTATTATTATTTATTACCAACTCTCGTAACGTAATGGTACAATAATGTCTCTTTTTTAAGTCCGTACCGATCCTATGTTAGATAACGCGAAAGTTCCTCCGCTAAGATCATCTGCGGATACCTGTCCGGCATTAGCAGCCGACTGCAGACGACTTAATTCGGCGCCAATTTCCAATATGCTCTTGTTCTAAATCGAAATAATGTACATAAATTCAGTTACTATACAGTTATTACTGTTTTTATTGCTACTCCATGCATGTGTTAGCGACTGACTCATTTAAAAGGTAGAAATAGAAATGAAGGTCTTCTTAAGAGAGATGGAATGATGGGCTTACCTGACAATTTTTAATGTTGGGCACAATTAATCCTATAGAAGTATCCACAGCCAAACCAATGTTGTGCTCAGCTTTATAGATGATTTGATCTTTAGATTCTGACAACGAACTATTCAATATGGGATACTGTAATAACAAAAAAAAAAACAGGTATTTATGGCGTTTATCTATAAGCAATGTTTGATTAATGCTATACTTTGTTCACTGTTATTATCTTCTTACAAACCTATTTACAAAGTGAGTTACGTGACCCATAGGAAAAACCATAATCTTTTGTACAGCGTTTATATTTTGCGAACGTTATAGGTGTTCTTAATTTTAACCTTCATTTAACATTTAAAACCTTCTCCGCTTGTATCAATCCATTTTTAGAGCCGTACTTCCTCCTTCGATTTTTACAATAACTGGGACAGTTCAAACGTATTCAGACAAGCCGACGCCACGGTTGATCATCGTGTCATACCTGGTACAGGGCAAGAGATGCGGCTTTGACGAAAAATGGCACGTAAGAAAGTTTTACCCCGTATTGCTTTGCCTCCTCTGCCATTTCCTTACGAAGGCTCACCAACGTAGTAAGGTTTATCTCGTCCTGCAAATCGTGCAATTCGTAGCGTGATTTCATGACCAATAAAATATAGCACATCTACTAACACAACGTGTGCTTCAGCATTATGATGTGCAATCCAATTAATCTCTTGCCAAGAAATTTCTTAAACTATATCTTCATTCATAAAAGTCGTGCCAAAGTGCTTGAACTTTCCTTAAACATCAATTCAGCTGTTAATAATCCGAAAAACCTCAACAAGAACAAGGGAGCAGAGCGACATCGAAGTCGGACGATTGTCAACCCGATATCTAAGTTCTGCATTAGCGTTCATCTAAAATAACCAACTTATAATATATTTGAATGATTTGACGTAACCTTTTAATACTGATGTTCGAGCCCACGTGTAACGTTTATCAGATGTTTCCTTCTACCAGCACGGGTGAAGGTTTTACGACACGTAATTATGCATTGTAGCTATGTACGAGACTTACCTTGTACCCAAAGTGCGGAATTTGTAATGATGTTGTCATCGTTTTGATCATGGTGCGAGTATAACCAGAAATTGGGGCAGTCTTTGCTTCAAGTTGTCTTTTCAGTGGTAACACTTGACTGGTGTCAGTTAAATCTAGGGAAGAATGCGCGAACATTACTTATGTACTATAAGGATATTTGCGAGATAGTTTATCAACGTCCCTACAAAACTGAAATGTTAAAAATATTGAATAAACACCGAATTGAAATTAGCGTCTAACATCAGCTATACCGACATTTCCTTATACCTATTGCACCAGCTAGACCAACATTTCCTTATACCTATTGCACCCACTCGATTCTTAGACAGTTATTGTCTTTCTAAATGAACGTAGATTTTGACAATGTTTCGATGGTAACGTGATAACGTTTCAACATATAATTATCTGGTGGAATGGTTAAATTAATTGGTAACGGTAACTCTATGTTAATAGGTTAAAAGGCGCGATCCGCTCGTTCGCACCGATTGGCGCTGCAGTCGCGCTGGTAGAGATCACTCGTGCGGTAGAAGGCCCACTCTGGAAAGTCAGGTAAATTAGAAAAATAGTCAAAATATGATTCAGCCTTTGCGTTCATCTTGCATACCACAAATATACAGAGCACATCTTCATGGTAAGGGCCACAAAAATATACCACGTGTACTCGCTGCTGCCGATCAAGATAGGCGAAAATATCGTCCTTAAGCACGCGGTTTCCTTTGCCTGTCCCTGTCACTTCAGTCAAAGGGACCTGAAAGATGATACGGTGCGCGATTTCGGTTTAACCTCACTCAACACATTACTTACACCCCCGAAAAATTGATTGACAAGGTGAACACGCTATTGAAATACATTTGCATAGTTGTATCACAGAGTTAGCAAGATAACAATTAAATATAGAAACATGTATATATGAATACATGTATATACCTGCATCTCTGCAGCCATTCGTCTGACAGCAGGAGTGGCTAACACTTGTCCTTTTTTTGAGTCCTCAGAAGGTCCCGGCGGGCTACTAAAAGCTCTTGGGTCCGATGTCGTCATAGCAACCCCATTATTACCAACCCCACCAGCGAAACTCTTGTCTATTGAAAATATTACATACTGACATTAATTATTTTACAGTAAATAAATGAACCTACGTTCTACGCCTATTGCCTATGCTATGCACACCTTTTTTAATCAGTATCTTCCAATGCGCCTTTAAATGTGTTTGCGATTAACACATTTAATCAAACCTAATTCTATTACAACGAACCGTTCTTTAATACCTGTGGCAAAACCAATTTCGATAATAGCTTAACCATCGAGTATACGTAGGACTCTCTTGCTGCTATAAGGCTATAATTTAGCTCTCCCTTCCGAATAAATTGACTCCATACCAGATTCATCTAGTTGAATGTCAATAAGCGGCTTCCCCACTGCGGCGAGCGCCTCAACCTGTATACAACAGATTGTAGGATTATTAGTAAATGGGCGAGCTCAAAGGGCACTGTGTGCATGTAACTACAGAGAAAGACATCGGAACAAAGCATCGTGTGCAGAAAATCTATCGAATACAAATCCAAATACAAATACTCGATCATTTCGTCATATAACTACCACTATCTATTTTTTCAGTGATTTTGATTGCGCATGTTCGAAAAATGATAAAATATTTACCTGGTGATGGAGCTTAACGACAACACCATCATAGCGAGATGTAATTGTCACCGACGCTTTATCTGATTGTACCTATAGAATACAAAATACAATTTGAATAAAATGAAAAATTATATTTAGAATGGATTTAAAACATACTTCTTCAGATTATCGTTCGAAGATATAGGCGTCTCTTAAAGAACGCTATTTGTCGCCAGTTACGTTACATCAGATATGCCATGCTTGCCAAAGGAATATCGCAATAAAGATCCGATGCACCAGTATGACATGATACATCCAATAAAGGCTGGACGCATCTACAAGTTGATCAGCATTTACTTTATGCTCGCGACATTTTCTCTGAACACTTATTATCAGAGTGCGACATAATAAATATAGGAATTTTTTGGCGATCGTGAAAAACGTGCTGCATGTTGAATGTCCAAACATCATTTGGTTCCCAGTTGAGCTTTTTTGTTATTATTTCAATAATTATATGCTCGTTGCGCTGTTACATTTGATTAATGTCATATGTATATATATATAATGATGTGCGTAAAAGGATTTCATCACACCAGCAATGTCTCTAGCAGTATTGGGAGATTTCATTCCCTGTGTAAACTATAATTTTCTGTACTCGAACTTCAGTGACAATTAATAGCAAAGAAAACATAAAAAGTTGCTAAATACATACTTCACAGATCGGGTCGAATTGTCTGACACGATCACCAACTTTTACGAACCACTCTTTAATCGTTACCTCAGAAATACCCTCGCCAATATCGGATAAGATGAATGGCACCACAGGACTGTCGCCACGGGAACTCTGTTGTTGCAGTGAAACTGATAAATTATTTGCTTATTAGTGATTAAGATATTCTATGCATTCGTATTCGTGTTCACGGGAAGAGAAAATTTCAGACAGAAATTAGTTTGTTGTATTGATTAAGGTTGACGTCTAAACATTTCGAAATTTTGGTATGAACGTTACCTTTTTACTGCGTGAGAATTACTTATCCCTATATTATACACCTAATAACAAGGACGTCTGCCGGAATGCCAAGCTCGAACGTTAATTTTACACATCGATATCGCCGTTTCTCTTCTATTTCTAAATGTAAACATCCGTAGTGGTGATACTTATCTAAAACTACTCCATTTGAAGGCTTTTAAATCTTCATTTACTCTGAGATAGATACAATACTTAAGTGTGTCCCGTTAATGGGAATGCGTAACTGCTTCGAAAAGGCTGTTGCATTTGAAACGAAATTCATGTGAAGGGAAAGTCCATGGATGTACCGATTGAATTTTTGCTGGTGTCGCCGTACTAATACTCTCCGAATCGAAAAGGAAGGTTACTCACCTGCAGTATGTAGGCAGCCTGCAATGCGTCTGTCATGTATATTTACATAAGTGATTAAATTGCCGCGGATTAATAGTTGAGACGACGCGATCGACTGAAATAAAAAGACAAAAATGTATATGCACACGGTCGATATTGAGAATAATAATGAAAATGTTTGAACCTCGCTATTATTCATTCTTTAGTAAGTTTTCAGTGATGTTTTCGTTTTAATAACTACCTATTTGCAGCGAAAAAAGTAATTAATATAGCTTCAATGGAGCATTTTGAAAACCTACAGTCGTCTTAAGAGCTTTTTGATTTCAATTATTTACGACCGGCATTATTTTAGCTGCAATAGCATGTCAGACTGGGATGCTATGCTCTCTCACTAAGCTAACCACGTGTTAACCATAGGAAACGAAGCTCACCTGTGCCAAAATAGGCCCTTGAGATCGGTTTAAAGGCCTGGTATTGTACATTTGTCTGGCGATCACACACTGTATCATGCGTCGCGACGCGTTACGAAGTTGAGCGGGATATTGTACCATCTTGTCGGCGGTTTAGTCTGCCTGAAGCAAAAACTAATCCATAGCCAAGGCTAACATCATTACATACTAAGTATATCTCGGGCCTTTTTTTTGACAGACAAACGTTAACCAGCGTACCAAGACGTTCATTCATTCGCAAGTCGTTGACTTTTCTTTGTTGGTTTATTCGTTTTCTTCATCTCTTCTCCCAAGGGAAAAGACTAATCTAATCCTCTGCTAGTGAAATTCAAGTCACGAAACCCAAATGAACAAACCACTGCAACAACTATAAACGATTGAAGTTTAGTGGCAGAATGGGATTGGTACCTTTTTCAAGTTTCACATCCGGAGCTGCCGCATAAAATGCAGTGCGTCTACGTTCGGTTTGAACGCTATTATATACTTTAGCTATTCCTAGTGCCCACCCACCTTATTGTAACTATTTTGGCATGAGCTAGAAAACGAACGCAGGCGCTTGGATGTGCTATATTTTAATTGTCCTGAATGCTTGACCCCAGAATTGCGGGGACGGAATCACGGAATACCCCCAACACTACATACGTCTGCGTGAGTCTAATGAACAACTCGAACCGGGATCAGCTGGTTAACAGCTCAGCTGTTCAATTGATATTATTAGGCTTGAAAGTCTACATATTAGACTTACTTAACTATCACCCACCACTATATTTACCGAGTTTACTAAAAACCACCATTGAAAATAGCGAGTACTCTTGCCTGGGGTAAAATTTCAAGGCAAATTGCAAGACCATCTTTCGCAATTGCCTGCCAAACATTTCGGAACTGCAAGGATCGTCTAAATGATTTGGTCCTCTCGTTGAAGATAATTTGGATTTTGTGTGATTTGGTCTTTTTATATATCATCTTGCAAAACTGAACCTAGAAGTTACGGATATAGCTAGACGATATAGCAGTATTGGAAGGATTTGTCTTGTCAATGCTTTTTTTGCATAACAGCATTTTTCTTTCCTGTTTTCTGTTAATGTATCGATTATATTGACTACGCAAAATTTAGTACGTTCTGTATGTTAGAAAGTCACCTTTTTGGCTTCTATCGACTTATGCTCCATTTTGTTGATTTCTGAAGAAAACGTTAGAGAAAATTAAATACTTGCCAAACAAGTATAGTATACCGCCCAAATGCAGTAAGAAAGCAGCGTGTTCAAAATCAAATCTTCTGTACCTTATCTTATTATATAGCCCAAACAAACTGCGCTAATCATAGTAAATAAATTGTTCGTTCTTTTTTAAGATTCTCGGAGAAATTTAGTTCTCTATGTATGTGTTTGTGTGTGTGTGTGTGTATGGCATAAATGTGTACGCGTGTGTATGTGCGTTTTGTGTCTGTATGTGTATGTGTAGAAAACCTAAAAAAACAAATCCTGCCATGAAACAAAGCCATTTCAGGGCAGGCAAGCAGTGCAAGCACACTTAGTCCTTTCAATTTTTTTTTGCCTTAGATCAGTGCTATCTTTCACCTCTTACTTAGATATCAAAAACGTTGCTCTTTCTTATAGACAACAACTTATATGGAGGCAAGCTTAATGTAGCTCTATGTTTGGAATTTTACGTCTGGTATCGCTGTTAGGCGATATTCGATCAGACGATAAATGACGACGTGTGTCTGTCTATGCCTTATTGGTTCGAACCTAGAGGACAACGTGCCCTTTATTATTATTATTATTAGCAGGCGAGCATTTTATCCACTAAAGCTGAACGTAATGGCATATTTTACAAATAGCCATAGATAATGTTTGAATGAGCATCTGTATACTGCATACATTGTTTCTACAATTGAAGCAATATTCTATTATTATTGCAACACCCAACTTGAACTTAGATTAGCGGGTTGTTATGTTGTACGACAGTCCGCTAATCTAGCTTGTAATACGCCGCTGCTGGATTCTACATCAGTCTCTTTGAAAGTCCATTTACACTAAAATAGATCTTTTCTGCTAAAATCTTATGGTCTGATTTGAAACGTCACATCAATGCTGTCTGATACGAGTAATACAAATTTACACGGTGTGTAGTGCGAAAATCAGAAAAAAGCGATAACAAACAAACCATAGTGCTCGTTCCTACGATGTCAGCACCTTATAATGCTACAATGATGCGTATGATCATATTCAAAAGGCTAGTCACGATTTTAGGCTTTTTTTTTACTATTTTTTTAATTTATTTTTTATTACATTTAAATCTGTATCGAAATAACCTCAGCAAGGATCTGACCATCGCATCTAACAAGACGGATAAGGCAATGAATAAATGTTTGTGATTCACGTCTGAAGTACTAAAGAAATAAATTTGAAGATGTCTCTAAGGACTTGGTTATTTCATATATATATGAAATATCCAAGGACTTATTTTAAATAAGTCCTTATTTAATAATAATTACCTTTATATATAAATTTGTACAGTATAGGTAGCTGCTTTTCAACAACAGAAAAACGACCTGATTCCTTGGTGAATATATTTCAGTCATTAAAAACATCAAAACAAAAACAAGCTAATCATTGGATCTTAAAAGTATTTATGCTGCTAAAATTGTGAAGTTCGTATAATAAGAAATTAACTACAAAAGGGATCCAAATGGTAATATTGTTAATGGTCTAGCGTCAGCGACTGGTCACCTGAAAAGCCCAAATACTGGTACATAATCTCCCACTTAAAATATTATGACCAGCGAGTTTAAGATCCCGTGTTACTGTGCCGGCTAGGAAATATACTTCGTTATCGTCTAAACCTTAACAATAAAGCACTCCAAATCTTTTTGTTAATATTTTTACCAGCTTTTTCCACACTTTGCACTTGTATTCCACAATTTGAATTTTTTCTTATAGAGTATGAAAACCACGAGAGTCTTAACCCAATACGTTTTGATAATTTTTCAACGTACAGTCGAATTGCTCGCAAGGATTACACATTTGGGCGGGCATTTTATAGTGCACGTGCCTAACTGTGTCCATGCCAATTAGCTGAAACCAAACAACCCGGAACGTCTCATAATAATCTTCTAGTAAAATAAACTAAATTTATGCTGCGTAATAACAAATAGATTATCGTACCTGCTTTAGACTTGGTGACGCTCGTGCTTGCCCTTAAACAAGCTAACATTAAAAGTGATCATATAGTAATAATAGTAGTAATATAGTTTATTATGATAATTAAGTAGGCCTGGAAGCAAGCATCCGTGTGGCAAATATATGAACTGATGAAGAAATCTATGCTAAAGAAATCTGAAGGCTCTTAGTGTACCATCATTTGGGAAATGTAAAGGGGATTACGGCAGGGCTAAAATTGCGCTAAAACACAATATACATGTACCATTCTGTAGGGATAGGAGATAAAACCCCTTACTTCAACACGCCAATGACACATACGATCTGTGGGGTGGTGAAGCCCAGATTTTCAATACAGAACAACTTAAGAGATATCTAAAGTTAAGATGAATTTAAATTTGGCTACATGTCGAACTTGGTGCAGATCTGGCTTTTCTTTGCCAGATTGGTGAGAGAACTAGAGAACCCATGCAACACCTTGAAATAAACCGCCCCCCAAAAATTTCAGTCTACCTAGGACGACTTCACCGACTACTTGCTAAGCTTCTAAAATGCCAATACCGTTTTCAAATTTGATCTCTAGTCATTATCGAATTTTTTTGTATACTCACTTCCTATATCATGGTTCTATGCACAATAATAGTATTTGGACACATGAACATTTCTGGCGGATAGAACGGTGGTTGTCTTTGGCCGTAGGTGGTATTCACAATGCTATAATTTCAACGGTAGAACTGCTACAACGGACGGCAGACGCAGTAAGAAGCAAGTAATTATTAGAACCTCATAAAGACTATCATTGAAACTTACCATCGACCTCAACAAACTGTGTCAACTCAGAGATTCCGCTCTTCCACGCATTCACTCAATGTGTGTAAGGTTATCACAACATCCATTGTTCTAATGTATTACACTTCAATACTGTAGGTGGTAGGAACTGTGCCACTGTGACAGCTAAAATGGCAGTCTGTAAGTGTCGTTGTCGGTTCCAAACCATACCCACAAAAGTATGGATGAATGTAGTAGCCGTGAGATCTTAGATAGGGATGTCTTTAAAGACCTCAGAGTTCGTCTTTTAAGTGAGACGAAGCGCTGCGTTTTCGGCATTACGCGGCCTTGCCGTATTCCGTCCAAGGCCCAACGTTTCTACTTAAGCCCAAGCGAATTACACGGCAGTGTAGCAGATTGTACGTAAAAATACGCGATACGCACAAAGAACTTCAACAAAATTAATGATCGGACCCTATTAATGATATCGAATAACAGCATATTTATATAGACGATAACGCGGTTAGTATAATTACAATAGAACATTACTGCTCAATAAGCATATGTATCGATACGCGTAGAATTGTGTTTGATATTTTAAAATAAATCAATGCACGACTAGTAAATAGCAATAGAAGTAGTGAACTAAAAAGGATGTTAAATAATACTTTCAGTTAAGATGCCAAGCGTATTTCCTTCCCTGTTGTGTTTTCTTTTTCACTGAACAGTAGGCTGGCCATTTCTGTGCGTGACCAAATAGCTGTGACATGCAAAATAAAATGTCAATATTCTGCTTTTATTATATGAACTACGATATAGCACAGTGGAATAGATATATTTTTAGTTGATGAATTTTCTAAATGCAACATTAGCTCTTTGCGTGTCTCCTGATCCTCAAATAACAGATCGATTGGCTGTTTGATACCTTGTACTACTTATCAGTTGCTCCATTTTATTACCATTACCATTCAAATGTGGACATAAATAGCCAGAAAACGGCCCTGCTGTATATAGAGCCTTTTAAGTAAATTAAACCAAAAATGTTTATCGCAGCGCGATAGTCCAATGCATTGTCTGACTTGGATTCAACAAAAAAAAAGTACACGCCGCTATCGATCGGTTCTATATAGTATCACTTCCTTACACAGTAAATAAACGTATCATTTATATTTAAAATATATAAAATAAAATAATAGTCTTATTTTATAGAAATGTTTTTCACTCGATATTTTTCAGCTCATAGCTCAGGTTGCTGCCGACCCTTTCTCTAACAGTTACCTTCACTTAATGCCGGCTAACTTATCTATTTCAAAAATCCGTCTGCCTATGAACCATGGAAATCTATAGTAATATTGTAAATATAATGCAAAAGATAGGATGTAATCAATGTCAGAGTCGAAAAAGGTTATTTTTCAAGAAAGATATATTAGGCTAACGAATTATTTTACAGCATTCTTCATTGTCTAGGGAAATAATTATGTATTTAATACGGAGAAAGCACGTTTTTAAAGCATGTAATAACCAACTCTGTCCTGGATAGCAGTTCTGTCCGGCATCTGACTAAAGATCACATACTTTGCGAGTATATGTCAATTTCTAATTGACTGTCCTACGCAGAACACAACAGATTTGCCTATATATATAAATACTAAAGGCATTATATTTCTAATAACGGATATATATTTAAAGTGACAAAGGAGTGGGATAATTAGAACACTTCTTAAAACTCTTATCAGCACGATCAAGATGATCACAATCGAAGAACGTATATCTAGTGGCAATATTGGGCTGCTCTTAAGGGGCACCTTAAAAGCCGCAGAGCAATATATGTAACAGTATTTCGGGAGTATTTTCTGACCCAAATAATCAGCGAAATTCCAAGTGGTTAGTTATTTTATCGTTTCTAACGTATCTAGCACGTATGATATAGTACGTTTTTGACTGTAGCTAGAGAAAAACATGCATTTCTTAACGATCTATACTTAATATCTATCCCTTTCGCTGCGCCTTTTGATTTTCCCTATTATAATGTCGTTAAATAGATGTTCATATGCTGTTTCTTTGTTGCTATTTATCAGAACAGATATTGGCAGCTCATTGATGAAAATCAGTAGTCAAAATTAGTAATAAGATCACTCCGATTAATCACTCATTTAACTATTAAGCCAGTTAACTGTGGTGAACAGATCGAATACGTTCTGCGTATTGTTACACTTGAAACGTCAGCGAAAAGGAACTAATAAAAAGAGAGCACGCGTATCTCTGCTTAATGGATAACCACCGTCTCTAGAAAAATAAAAAGTCAAACGTGATAAAGCGGAATCAAAGTCAGGAACGGTTACATATCTCACCCACAAGAACGTACGCAACATAATGTTATTATTTTATATTATCAAGGCTAGTCACTATGCTGGAATTAGACGTAGTGAGTGCAAGTCATTTTACTTACTCATATCATTAATAGGACACTTGAAGTTCCAGCAACTTGTAGTTACCACTTAAAACAGTCAAATGCAGTATTCGGGCAAACTCATGCCAGCTTCTGGCCCCAGCACAGCAGAACTCAACGGCTAAGTGCATTTCATTCTTGATCTACCTGATCTACACGGTGCGTGTATAGAGGCCATCCTCTGGATGGCTGATTACTGGCGCTCCCTTTACCAGACAGGGTCATTGCGCCACGGTACGTAATTACCGGTCTTCTGTTTGTTTGTAGTCTATTAATCTATCTGGATTTTTGCATATCAGCTACTGGTCGACTGTCGCCGTTTGGAGCGGGTCGTCTCAAACCGAAAAGTGTTTAAAGTAGAAAAAATAAATTGAAACAATGAATATGAAATTTACTGATTAAAATTTTTGTTTCAATTCATCTTATTTAAATGATTGTATCATGTTTAGCTAGCTTGAGATATAGTGCCAACAAATACACTCACGATTTTGTCGGTTATGAGAATTATGTATCACCGCTATATTAACTTTATAGTTTATAAGGAAATATGAAAAGCTGAACGCCGACCACTAAAAAAGTGGCACCTGTCTAATGGCACCCAAAACACTTCACATAATATAGCCTTTAGTTTAATCTTCAATTCTTGACATTTTAGACATTAGTTCTAGTTGTCTAATTGTGAGTTCATCACTAGTATATTGTTACGTAATTTTTACGTTACGCATTACGAATTTGTGTGCTTGTTTCTCATGGTATCTGATTGGATTTGTATAAAATTGCACTAGGTTAGAATTATAAAAAAAAAAAGCGTTAATTGCGTACGCAGTAATTTAACTTAAGTTCCAGGCATATTTCAGCATAATTTTCCCTGTTCCTATCGCTAACAGCATAACGATGGCTCAGTCCGATTATATGATACTTTTTAGGCAAAACGAAGAAAAAAAAAACCGAATTTATTTCCAATTGGACGTGTGGACCAGATCCGCTCTATATTAGTTATTTAAAATCACAAGGATCATATGTACAAATCTGCATGGCCAATTAGAAGAGTTGCAAGACGGCGTAATCTGGGTGGGTATCGCTCTGTTTGACTGCGTCGTCATGGTCACCGGGAAAAGAATAATAAAATGTGTAGCCACGGTAATTAAAACCGCAGCACTGGCGAACACGACCGCCAGAAATTAAAAAAAAAAGCATATAAAAATTGGATTAATAACAACTTATATTGGTACCATATAATTTTCAAAAGTTTGTTGGTGAAAATCTAAATAAATTCAGCAAGATCCAACTCATTTTAGTTGGCCAGGTTCTTGACAGTATATTAAAGAAAAGTTGTTCCCAAGAGCCATCTTCTTTGGTCAATCCTGTTTGTCGCTAGCTTTTCAGTGTAAGATGAGAGGTATACCAACTCTGTGAACGCACCTTTTATACGTATTTTATAATTGTAGAAGTAATAGTAGTAACAGATGTAACTTCGGTCGGCCGTAGGTCCTAACTGACTGAGGGACTTACCTACTTCATTAGTGAGACATGGCCTGAGGAAAAGGGTATCATCAGCTCGATAAACTGGGCATATCCTTTGCCTCACTACCTGATCCGGATCAGACTGCGAGTGCGAACGAGGTGTCCCATACTCGCGCTGCCATAAAAAGGGCATCTTCCAGACATCAAGCCAAATTAGCTGGTTCTAATACAGTGTTGTAAATGTTATTAATTTGATTAATCGCGCCATAACAAAGAAAGAGCGAAATTTCAGATGCTCAGTTCGTTTCAGACTGACGTTTTTCACTGAAACAGTCTTTGTCTATGAAGTACTCTATTGGACCGATCCACTTCCAGAAGTGTTAACGCAGTTAATTTTATTATTATTATTATTACAAAAATGACTACAACGTGGTATTAAAATTATGTTTTTGCGTTATCGACACAAGCACGGCCTAACCGTAATAGACCTAAAATTGTAAAGTAAATATATGAATAAATAGATGTTTATCGTTATCTGGTATCGCAAAGTAAGTAACTTTAAAGAGCTCGTATCTGCTATCAATAAAAAAACTAAAGCAGATCGTTGCTGCCTCAACTAGAACTGCCCCTATCTTTGAAATACTCGTATTCCTTATGTAGCTGTAAATTTACTTGCGTAATCACAAACTTCAGTTGTTTCGTGCGCGCTTTATATGTTTGTGCGCAGCATGATACATGACAGTGGCTATCTCATTTTTTAGTATTGTGGGATTTGTACAAGATCGTTTAAGAGTGTACAGTTAGAGAAACGATGGCTTGCAAGGCTACTTTCTTGCTAGTTATAAGCAACGAACAAAGGTAATATTTCGAAATGGGTACACACCAGAAAAAACATACCGGAAGCGGGGTGAGAGAAAGAAGGAGCGTCGGATTCATTTTTAGAGGGAAAAATACGTTCGTAGCTGGGAGAGATGTTCTAGTCAACATAAAAATGGAAACTGTGCAAGCAGAACTGATAATTGTTCAATGAGTAACAATATATATATATACATATCCAAACGATAGGTGTTTATCTCATTGAAAAACTGGAACTATAACGGGATTGCAATTGGGATGAATGATGGCGACGGTAGGGCAATTACGATACGAAACAACTGCGACGGGTCTAGGCTAAACAGGTGAACCAGTTTTTGTTTGTTAAACTTTAATGCCGCCGGCTAAGTGTCAGGTACCCACATGAACTGTGAATCATGTGTAAATGATGAATGGAGAAATGAACGGGCCCCAATATCGATGGGTAACCGCAACCGAAATGCCGTCAATATGTGGCTCTGTTACCACACGGGTTCAGTGGCCACGATTATTCGGTGGTAACCGTGCGAATTAACAACTTGGAAAATGAGTCGAGAAAACCGTTGTTCTGTCATGTTGTCTTAGAACATGAAAACGTTTAGCAGAAGTATAACGAGATCTATGCGCATGGAATGATAGATGTCTAATTGAGTTAACCTTAAAATCGTCTACTATGCTTTATGTGATCATAATTACCTGCTACCTGTACGGCCACCAAATAGAATTGGCGGGGGGGGGGGGGGGCAATAATATAGCACGTGCCAATGTACGTGGACTGCACAACCAAGAATTTGCATAGAAACGCGTGCGAACGCGTTTCACCTCTATTGCGCATTTCAATCTGTTAGCTAGAAGGGAACGAACGTTGTAATACGTTCATTCCGTAGAAGGTGCTGCGGCAACGCAGCACCTTCTTCGGAATCAGTTATCGAGTCAGCAGGATATTGCCAATGTTCCAGCAGCAAGATGCAAAGCATATGGAGGAAGATCCATATTATGCGAGTGGTGGGTAGAAACGGTACGAAAATACCCACGAAGGATGCGAGACTGACCCAGCGGAGGTCGTGAGAGAAAGGACCAATCTAAGTGCCCGGTTGAGAAAGGGCGTCAGGTAGAGAGGGTAAAAGGGCAGACTCGCTAATGGTTTCACTGAGGAAGCATCTCAGTATCAGCTGATCGTCACCACCCAGTGGTAGACGGGCTGGCAAACGTTGTGAAAGCCGTAAATGTGTTCGTACAGTGTATCCGGAACGGCAGGCGCGGCTACACTATTCTTAACTTCTGACCCTATTGATAATCTTACGAATAGTTTGACTAGTCTGTACGTTTTAATTATGTCTAGCATCTACAGTACTGTTTCTTTGAGTAATGTTGCAACAAGCACTAGTTCTTTGAGAGTTATTCGGTTACCGGTAGACTCTTATCCTGAAAGCGGCCGTATGCAGTAAGCGAGAGCTAAAAGCAGCTTACCTTTAGTATACAATTGATTTCGTATGTAACGAACACACAGTCCCCTTTGACCTTACAGGTATTTTGTTTCAACTATACAACGATCGGTCTTCGGTCGGGATTGAAGTGTCTTCCTTTGTAGTAGTCAGGGGCAGCCTGAAGTGGCTGCCTAATTTTATGGTTGTGAAATTATCTTTTAAACGACAATCGCCAATACCGTAGGGTTAATATAGGAAATGTACGCTGCTTGTTGAAAATTGACATTGAGTATCCATGACAGAGGCAAAGCCGGTTTGCCCATACGGATTTTGACTGAAGCTGCGGTATGTGTCCGCTGGACTAAGACTTTATTGAAGATCGAGGCCGGCATCTACATCATCTAATGTTCGATGGTTCTTCCAGTGTTCGAATGAAACCAGGTGTTCGGTGCCACTCTTCTCGGATATGTGCATAGAAGCGTGTTTATATCGCACTATAGAGTCGTCGTTGTTGTCATTACGTGAACGTGTCCAAGTTGTAAGTCGCGAAACTCATCGCAATAAGAAGCAACACAGAGGCGAAAGGGAACCGAGATTGGCGGCAAGTATCGGCATATTTCTCTTACCCACGCCGTCTTTGTTTTCGAATTGGAGGTAAGCGTACGTGATGTGGATGCACGTGGCATTAAGGCGAGGAGCAGGTGGCTTTGCAGGGAGAACAGCTCCTCTTTTTGCCTATTCACGGTCTGCTGAATGCACACGAAGCAATAGTGGATTTATACAGCGGCGATCTTTCACTGCACGCCTGGGGGAAGGGCTAGCCTTCGCAGGGCGGGTTGCATGCTTGCACAACTCGGCAGCATTGACGAGCGTTAAAAAACTTCTGGTAGACGACGACGCGCTTATCACTCGCCAACAGGCCAAGGACCTTATTTACAGACTGCATCAGAAAGAGCGTCGAATTCTTCTCGAAGAGCTGGAACGGAACAATATATTGAATGACGACGAAGGTGAGCAACTTTAAGAGAAAGAACTTTTGCGGTGTCGACGTCCTTGTGATGTCGTTGATAGAGAAGTAAGTCGTACAGTTGCGCCCAGGTCTTGAATCGGTGATGACCGGCCAATGCAATATCGATAAAGTCTGCTTTGGCTTTGAAGATTACGCTCTAAACGCAATGCTAAGTCAGAAAGATATTCTAACGTAATTATGAGTATGTCTCTTTTTTCTCATTCCGTCCATTTTTGTCTATAATATATTATACATGTATGATTTATGCCAAAAAATGCTGTAACAGTGAACTGGTAACGCATACTTTCACAATGCAGTAGTTTGAAGAACTACCTCTCGACGTGGGAGCGTATTTTGTATACGCTCATGGCTACTATAATTGGCCTGCTCACGACACGGTCCTCGCTACTATCTCGCCCTTCAGGCATAATTATTGAGAAGTGCAGAACTACTTAATAGACTGTTACAAAGGTACACAGCGCTGACTGTATATTCGCATTAATCGCTTAAAATAATGCGTAAAATGATAAATCTTGAAGGGATGAAAATTTACTTTCGATCATAGAAACGTCTGTAAGACTAACTTATTGCAATATTTTATTACTTGGAGGGGTGGCATTTAAATCTGGGGTATGGGTTGTTCGAACGGCGTAGATACACTAATCTGGTACAGAAAATTATCATTTTAACGATTGCAGAATAAGCTGTGCTTAAACTCCTGACTCTCGCACGTAACAGTTCCCATCATAGCTTCATTGAATGTCAGTATATCCGTAGTAATCAAATATATATATATATATATATATATATATTTGACCTTCCTATAGACTCAACGGGGAAAATTTGTTTCATATGTTTTTTTAGTTTTCAGCGTGCACAGGTAATGGCTTGTGCATTATTTCTGCATGAATACGGCAGAGTGAATATTACATCTCGCACAACACGAAAAGGTCAGAAACGTAAGTTTCAATCTTGAAGAGAGAATTTTTGTAAGATTGCTTATAGCCACAACACACAATTTGAGGTATCCAATTTGAAAAAAATAGAAAAAAGCTCCGAACCACTAAATAGTATTTATCTGCTCCCCAGTTACCTTTGATTTTGTAGCATTTATCACTTAAAATAAAGATTTATGCCAAATAAAACGGTCTAAACTTCAATTTCCCACGGGGATTTTTGTTTACCTAATAACCATCTTGATAATAGTAAGCGAGACGAGCAGCTTGATATTTTCCCTTGTTTTTTAACTATTGAAATCGGCTGTAGTGACAGTTCCGTAAACTCACTTATATATAACGCTAGTAAACGTTGGCCAAGATGACAATATACTCTATAGTAGTTGCGAAATATTAATTTTAGTGAAAAAAAAAAATTGATTACTATTACAGCATTTTGATTACTATTAAGATTTTTGTCGAAGTAGGTTAGGCCTGCCGTCTGCATTGAGAAAAAGGCAAGTCATCTAGGAGGTAGCATTTAGCAAAAATTTAACTACACATGTAACTTGAAATTACTAGCCAACAAAGTTGTGCCACTCGTCTTCGTAGTTTTACCTGTTTCGCATGTTATTTTTTCAGTAAGCTAATGTTTTTTTTCAGAGACAATAGTGCTCTAATGATATCTATTAAAATTTACTGTACATTAAAAGAAAGCATCAAAGCAATTAGATATTTCTGAATTTTTTCGAGCTATCTGAACATATAACATGGATATACCTACAGGATGCTGTTTTGGTAGATTTCCTATAACCTAAACAATAGTTTTCATTAAATTCCATTAAGGACTGCGAACTATAAAACATTGTTCCCTATTTCGATATTTGGTTAAATATAGGAAAAGTTAGCCATAGTAAAAATTGTACGCTCAATATGTTCAGCTATTAGCCAAGGCAAGCAAATCTCTAAAGTAGCGGAAAAAGGAGGAAAAACTTTTTTTTGCTTAAATAATTCATTATATCATGTAACTACGCTACAGTAATTTCAATGAGGTGAACGTGCAAGAAGGTAAGCTGTTTGAAGTTCTAGAAAGTCATGTAAATACTTGCAGCATCGTTATTTAGCGTGTGATTAGTCGCCAATCAATGGCCTGCCTAACATATTTTTGAAGGGAAAATTTAAATAGGTTTTCAGTTAACCACAGGACGAGCCATTGAATACAGCCATAATAAAAGCTGTACAGTGTATACACTTCTCGATATTACGCTAAACTTACGTTACGAAATTACGTTAAACAATAAAAGAAACCCTCAAGTTAGTTGAAAATTACGTCTTCTTTAAAATTTTCAATGTGAAAACTTAAAAAGGAAGGTTACAAAGCTTTCTGGAGATGGCCAAAAATTCTTATTCTATGGTTTCTTCTGTAACGCTTATTGCTTTGGAGATAAATACAAAAAATCGCGGAGCACTTAGTGATAATCATAGTACTAATATGTAGGTGAGCTTTTATAGAAATGCCTAATACGACATAAAACTCGAAATATATAAACATCTGCTATCTGTTTCTAGCACTATCTTACTTCTTCAGTCTGACCAATTGAAAATATTTGTTGATCGTCTTTTTTACTACATCTAATTTACTTAACTTCCATTACCTCTGACTGAATGACTGCTATTATTCAGTGTGTTAAATTGATTTTTCATTTGAGAATTTGGCTACAGTTAGGACTGAACGCTAGACAATGTTGACCAAATGATTTAACAGCGCACTTAAGTGAGAATCACCATATCATAATTATCAAGCTACTTAGACTCTATTCTCAGAACTTTTACACTTTCTCGGGCGACGATCCCAGACAATTCAGCCTTAAAATTTAAGATGAATATAGAAAAAAAAAAAGTCGCACGCAATATCGCTACGGCATTCCTAGAGCAAGTTGTTTACTACTATTTACACAGTCTTTTATGAAGCTCAATTTAATTTTCATTAGCGTGCTTGTCCGAGCTAAATAATAACAGCACCTGAGTGATTAACAAGTTTAGCAAAATCGAAAGGCCACCTCATGATCTAAAGCTAAAAAAAAATCTTTTTAATGTCGTGCTATTGGCATACGATGAGATGGGGAAACAGTTTGTGGTTAACTTTTGTTGAAAATCGTTTTTACCATGTTAAAAGGGAGGGGGGGGGGGACCATCGTCATATCGTATGCATACACTTTAATAGTAAGAGTTGTGGGTGCTTTTGTCGCCTTAAGACCCACCGCGTCTGCGTTTTGGCAGACCGCAGTAGCAGAGTTCGTATAAGGCAATCTCGGAAATCGAATACACACATAAGGCTATGCCGCAATATTTGTCGTTACAAAGGAGCGCTTTCGTTTGCTGGTAGAAATTACATACTCTGATACAAACAACTGAAAAACTTTTGAATATAGTCTGTTCACACAATAAAACCGCTATTTGGTAACCAATATATGTATATATATAACGTATTTATTGTAATGTGTCATCTCGAAGTTTTTTCCCAATATATGATAGTTCATAGTGCGAGATGTAGGCGTTACGCTTTGGGACTTCAAGCTGCTGAAGGCAGACTCAAGGCAATGACCAAGTTGTATACCTTCCGTCGTATCGATTTCGTACATTCCTGTGAAGCTTATCATTACTAACTTGTTAGATTTACGTGGAGATGCAAAAATTGGATAAGTTTCTTGGCCATTTGCTATCCACGATGGTTTCACTATATTATTATGCACTTTTTTCACTAATATAAACTGTACTGTAATAATACCAGAGGGCCACTGGTTTGAGACGCTCATACCTAAGTTCAGGCTTGAGAAAACTAAGTATAATGATTTCGTAGTAAATTCAGGTGACAGTTTAGGCTGTATTTGAAATTGTAAAACAAGCAACATTAAGTGATTTGCGAACACATGACTATTGGGTTTAGGCTCTTTAGGTTATCCGGGGCGAAAGCTAGTATGTGCTTGCTCAGTCGTAGTTTTACGCGCCACTAAGTCAGTTCTATTATGGTTAAATTTATAATCTTTTTGGATGATTCCGTAGAGAATTTGTAGAGCCAGTGATCGTTGCTGTTGCTAGTCGGTGAAGGAATAACTCTGCGCGAGTTGTCAACATGAGAACCTGGAAACGAATGAAAGCACGATAGATTTTCACAATTGATCACATAAAGTTCTATGGTGTTACTCGCATTGCTGAGCTCAAGATAAGCTTACAGCCAGCAAGCTGTAAAACCAATCGATGAAAGCCGGCACAGTTGTTTGCTGTTTAGCTTTCGGTTCAGGAGATGCTATCGGGCTATATGAGGATTAAACCTTTGTACATGTGCGTATATTCGAGCTTAAGGCCATCAAGTACAGACCCCTACCCGTCTATTAGTATCGCTTGCTCTTCTACTATTGCGATATTGTTAGGATAGACAAAAAAACGGTTTGAAATTTACTCAAAGCTGATTTCGATCTCGAACGTTAAACGAACATGAATCTTGTTGTTGCTTTTGACCCAGTTACTCTTTGTTTCACTTGGCAGCGGTCGTTCGAATTAAGAGCATCTGCTACTTTGACCAAGTGTTATTTGTCACTAGCTAGAATTTTTGGGTAGCTAATATTTTCAAAAATTTCCCAAGATGATGCGATATAGTAGCTCGAAATTTGAACGTGTACGGTCTGCGCGCTGCAATTTTCAACAAAGTGTATTGCGATTCGGTGCGTTTAGCATAACGGGTTCGACTTCAGACGCCACAGGATTTTGCTACATCTTTTTAAAGCTTTTTCCACGCACGTCTTTACAGAATTACTCGGACTTCACATCACAACAAGCTGTGTTTTCATAGATGCCAGCAAACGAGAGAGAACCTATCGACCACTAGGATAGAGGACCCATTTAATGGGGCTATTACTGCTCTCTAACTCAATTCACTTGTTTCAGTTTGTCTAGAAAATTACAGAAACAGCAATTGTGCTATCGTACTAGAGACGATCAATATACTATTAGAATGCGGGGTGTAGCGTGGTAGCTGTGATGCGGTGGTTTATTATTCAGAGAGAGA